TCATGACAATTGGTCGATAAATGAACATAGCTCAAATTTCACATTTTCACAGAAGTAAGTAAAAAATGACATTTGTCGATAATTTGTCATATTCAAATTTTTTATTTTTAATCCGATCGTCGTGAAACTTTGGGAAACTTAATTTTCTGCCAAAAAAATGATCTAGACAAAATTTCATGACAATTAGTCGATAAATGAACATAGCTCTTTTTAAGACCAAGAGACGTTACATAAAATGTTAGATAAGAAAAGGTCAATTTTTGGAAAAAAATTGCAAGTACATTTTCAAACAAAATATTGTACTGTTTCTTACACTTAATTAAAACCATTAATTTTGAAATAATTTATTGTAGCAAAATTATGAGTCAAATACCGCCACCAAATACAAAATGCAATTTTTGCTTGGATATATTAAAAAAAACAAATATTTTCATTCATCATAGAAGCATTCATCTCAAGTTTATTCTTTTTAATTATATAAATTTTTACAATGCTTTGAAAAATTTGGTGATGTTGGGGCAACTTTGGCCTGCCATTTTGGTTATATCATTATTTAGTGCCTTAAGTACTTTTCTATCATCTTTCGCAAAAGTGTTCATTGACAAATTTAAATTTGCAGTAAGTTGTTTATATTCTGGCAACTTTTGAGCCCGTTTCCCATCCAATTCAAGTAGTTGGATAATTTTAGTCGATATTTCATCAATCTGAATTGAATAACCGTCAATGGTCAATTTTAAAAGTTGGGCCATATTTGGAACATTAATAAAGTGTTGTAATAAGTTCGACTCGAATGGCTGAATTTTCATCAGACTTTTTCCTAATTTATCCTTATTTGATCCTATCCGATCCAAGAATTCTTTTTGTGATGATTGATATAATTCACAACATTGTTTACTATCCTCCATTGCCTTTTTCATTGTAGCTACTATAGACGAAAATGCATTGACTGTTTCGTAATATGCACTCAATTTTGATTTAAGTATCGCATCGAGAACGTCAGATATAAGAGCGCGAAGTTTTTTTAGTTTTGCATTTACAATCACATTTCCAAATGATAAAGATACAATTGAAGAACAGTCAAATACTAGCTTCTTACGAACAGGCTTGGCTACTTCTTTTTCCAATTGGTCATTGATTTGCTTTAGAACAACAGATGCTGTACCCGTTTTTCTTAACGCAGCAAGCTCTTCTCTAACACTTACAGCACATGACGACTGAATCTAGAGAGTTTTGCAACGATTCAATATATATTTAAAATATTTGCGCAGTGATTCTAGATAAAATCTTCAATGGTGAAAAACGTTTAATGTTTTAAAGACATTTTTAAAACAATTATAGTAATACAAAAATATCGAGAAAAAAAACACTTACCAAAAGTGCAAAAACACTTGCGAAGAATATAAAGTATAAAGGACGCATGTTGTTTAGAAAGAAACACATTACCATGACTGATTTCAAGGAACTCTTCGATATTTATATAATTTTTGAAGAGCAAAAATATTCGATCCAACATTTAGTTTAGTATGATATTTCCATTTTAAATAGAACCATAAGCGTCACTGTTCAATTCGAGAAAAAATTTACTTAAGCCCAAGTGAAAAATTTGTTTTCTTTCATCTAAGCGTATTTTTAATCTTTTGCATTTATGGAATCATGCACTGCAAGTATAACCACAAGATACTTCTCTCAACCTTCTGCGAATAACGGCTTTACAACTTTCATGTTCTACGAAACATGTTTGATTCAAACTAAATTTTGTCAGCAGGGTATAGCTTTGTCGAATAACTCATCGATGATAGAACGTAGTAAGCAAAATTTATTCAACAATATATATTATTCAACAAATTTCGTATCGTACATATATTTTATTTGAATTTTAAATTCAACATTTTTCACTTGAATTATAAACGTTTGGAAAAAACTCATTATTTCTTTAAAAGTTTTCTTGCAATGCACGATCGAATTCATTATATTTACAAATAGATATCAAATATAATTTATTTCGATTCTTTTTTAATTTGATTGGCTAAAATGTATCCAGATGATTCTTGTTCTCCTTTTGAATTTTTGTCAAATTTGTATCTAACTTTGCCTTGAATTTCAACCCGATCGGATTTTTCCAATTGTTTTCGCACAAAATCCAGCAATACTTTGTCATAAACAATAATACGATGACTTTCTTCAAGCGATATGCCGGCCGCTCTACCACCCCTATAATAAAATAAAATTTCTTCATTTTGTTCACTTTTCATATAATTGTATCGTTTACCTTGGTATGTGCTTTGTTGCTACTGTGAATTCAATGCGATTAACCGTATTTTCAATTTCTGAGCAGATTTCTGATTTAAGTATCACTTCATTTTTGTCCGTTGCTTGGTCACTATCATTGGTCAATATTTCGGCTTCATTTGCTTTAATAATGACTTTTTGACGCAATTCATTTTGTTCATTCCATTTATTTTGTGAATTTAAATAGCCAACGAATCGAACACGTTGACCAACACGAAATTGTAATGGTATTCGCGTTCCAATCATATGATACAAGCTGGTAAAAATACAACAGACACATTGATATTGAGAAAATTAAATGGTCAGGACAAAAGGAGAACATTATTTACATACAATTGGTTTTTGGGCTCTTTCGTTAAAACAAGAAACGATCTATATCCCGACGGTTGTGTAAATAAGTGCTTATGAATTGTACCAATAATCTCAACATTGTTAACTGCAATAAATTTTTTTTTTAATTAACTCTTTATCGAAGGGTCAAAATATTGTGTTACTTTGTTGTTGTTTTTCTACAGTTGAATTGGTGAAATAGGGACGAATTGATTTGTGTCTAAATTCAAACGAAACTATTGCATTCAATTTGAGTAAGATATTTTGAAATTTTTGCATGTTGTAAATAAATAACTAATAAAAACTAAACAAATTGATGGTCATACATCAAACTGAATTTGTTTTGATTTTTGAATGCATAACCTCAAAATAAAGCGAAATGTCAAAAAGATTCAGCAGCGAAAACAAATGTCAGCTTACATTTCGAATGACGTTGTCTGGACAGTTATAAAGTAATTTGACCAAACGAACTATTTTCAATTTTCAATTGAATGTTACCGATTTTATTTTTTAGCTTCAAATTAAGACTCATAACATGCAGTACATTTAAAAATTTATTTATGAAGACTTTTGTTTTAAAATACAAATAATTATTTTTGATATTCTTGTAGTCAAGTAAAATTGAAGTTGGCTGTAAATATTATGCCATGCTTCTTTTTAAGTGAGTGTGTCCTCGAACAGTGTTAAGTCATAGGTATAGACCCGTGAGATCAAACAATCGCCAGGCTGTAAATAATATTAAAAAAATTCCCATATTTTTAATGTCCGAAAAATATATATTAAAAATGAATATTTTTCAAAGTATAAGTCAACTTACGTCTGGTGTAATACCAACAAGTGCATCCGAATGGCCGTAGAATTCTTCCTTAAGTGATATGACAATTGTTTGTAGATTTGTGGTCTTTTCGACAATATACGAGGCAACTTTGCCGATGTTCGTGTTGTCTAAAGCTGCGTCGATTTCATCGAGTACGAAAAATGGTGCCGGTTGATAGCTATGAATGGCAAACAAAAGTGCCAACGCGGCAATTGTTTTTTCACCACCACTCAAATTGCTCATGGGCTGGAATCGTTTGCCAGGCGCAACACAATTATAATTGATACCTTCCAGATATGGTTCTTCTGGATTGTCTGGTCCCAAGTATGCTTGAGCAGCTTCATTTCGAGCCAACGATTTATAAATGCCGTCAATTTCTTCTGTGATGTGATCGCAACACGCTTTGAATTTTTCATATCGTTGATTTTTTACCTTTTCAAATGCAGCCTTTGCTTTCTTCGCCTTGCGACGTGCATTCTCAAACTCTTCATTCGTTGCAAGAATCTTTTCAGAGACGCTCTCCAATTTTTGCATTGCCTTCAAGTTTGGCGTTTGAATGCGCTCCAATGTGTCTTGCTTAGATTGCAACTCTTTTTGCAGCGTATCGTTCATCTTTTTAATCGCTTCATTAGTATTCAATTCCAATACATTTCGCGGCAGTTTACTATAATCGATTTGAAGTCTGACAAAAAAGTATAAATTAGAATTAGAAAAAAAAACAAACATAAAACAGCCTGGATGAAAAAGAAGAAAACATTTTTTTTTTCACTTACAGACTCTCACGTGCCAATGCAGCCGAACTGCCAACAACCATCGATTCATTCTGATCATCACCACCTTGATCGATATCATTTAAATTACCATTTATCATTGGAATCATTATGTCGTCCATCTGTCGAATGAAAATTCGTTAATTCTAGTCCAATTAAAGAACCACATTTCTTCAGCATTTGAATTTAATTTACCTTGCTTTGAATCAAAATGTTATGTCGTTCATTTTTCTTTGTCTCGACTTTTGTGTCAATGGATGAAATTTGATAGTTGATATTGTGAATTTCTTTGGCTAATGTGGCCACATCATGACGCGCTTTATTCACTTCTTTTTCCAAATTGTCAACGTCTTTCTTTTTTTCATTCTTTTCACCTTTGAGTTGTTCGATCTGTGCTTTGTCCGCATCGATGGCGGCCCGTTGTTTTTCTTCATTTTGTTTGCACTTTTCAAATGCATCTTCTTCGTCGGAAATAACACGTTCCCAACGTTGAACGTTTACTATAGATATTAGAAAAAGAATTCACATTGAAAATCATAATTCGAGTAAAGTTGGAAAACATTGGTTTTTTGTTTAAGAATCCTTGTTTCTTTTCTTCTTTACCTTGAGTATCTTTTGTGCGTTCGAAATCCAATCGTGATGTGACACGATCAATTTGTTGATCAAAATCAGCCTGCATTTTGGCACGTTCTTGTTGCAACACCAATTCACGTTCTTCGAATTGTCGAATGTTGGCCACACCGATTTTTTTACAGAAATCAGCATATACACGATCTTCGACTGTGTTCATTTTTTGCTTGATTTCCTCAATCTTTTGGTTTCGTTGTGCCATCCGTCGTTCAATTGTCCCGATCAACGGCTATAAAATAAGAGTTGAAGATATTGTTGTTGTTGTTTTTTATATTTTGAACCAAAAAAAGGGTATTGAACGAGAAATACTCACGCTGATTGCATTCAATTCATTTTCCAAATCTTTAAGGTTCTTTTCGTAGTTTTGGATGGCTTTCTTTGATGCTTCCAAATCCTTTTGGCTGTATTTCAAGCGATTTTCGAGTCCTTTAATTTGACTCTCAACCGTTGCCAATTCACTGCCTTTACGGGATTTTTTCACCAATTCCTTCAAATCTTCGGCCAATTTTTCTTTTTGCGATTTCAATTGTGCCATATGCTTTTCATCCCATCGTTTGGCTTTGCGTGCCAAATCGTGGCTACCACCAGAAATAATACCGGATTTTTGATAAAATGTTCCGTCTAATGCGAGTGCCTATGGGAAATTAGTAGAATAATAAAATTTCAATATTTTGATTCCATTCATTTAGAAAATATTTCGCACTTACGTCATAACGACTGCGATCAATTTCGTATGCAACTTTCATGGCATCTTCTGGTGTTTCACAGACCAATGCATTATTTGTTGCAAATAAAACGGCCTTTTCAATTTCTGGTGGATCAAATTTTAGTACGTCGTACACCAATTTCACTTGTTTTGGCTCTTTGATGTCACGCAAACGTTGTTTTAATGGTTTTGCTTGTAAATAATCTAGCGGCAAAAATGTTTCAACCTCTAAGCGTTGCTCTTTCAAAATCTGAAATCGAAATGTCCAATTGAAAAAAATCATCGGATAAAATCAAGGTTCCGTAAAGAAAAGACTTACTTGTATGCAACGCCGTGCTGTTTTCTCTGTGTCAACGATAATGGCTTCCATGTATTTACCCAAAACTTTTGTAACGGCCACATTGTAGCGTTTGTGCGTTGGCTGACACATATTAATCATTCGATCGTACTGCAAAATATACATACCTCAATGAAAATTTTTGTTGCACAAAGCAATAGTAAAAAATGAAAAATGCCCATACCACACCGGGAACTTCACGCTTAAATAATTCCACAACTTCTTGTTTCTTTTTGCGGCGAGCGTCTTCGTGCTTGTCACCTTTGGCATCGCCCAACTGATCGCGTACCATATCCAATTCTTTTTGCAATTCAGCGATACGTTCCTTTGATGAGCCGACATCGTTTTTCAGTTCGTCTTTGATACGATTTTGCTCTTGCAGTGCTTGCTCACTCGATCGAATGTGATCGAATAACTTTTCCATTCGCTTTTGAACTTCTTCTTTTTCCAGTCGGCATTTTTCCAATTGGCCTTCGATTTGTTCTTTCTTATTTGTTTCGTTGTCCAGCAAATCTTGATCAGATTTCTGTTCTCGATTTATCGATTCCAATTCGCTCACGTATTGGGCGGCTGTTGCTTCGGCCTGCTGCTTAAGACGATCATATTCTTCGACATGAACCTGTTCGGACACAACGCTCGTACCACGACGCTGAGATTCATTGGCCAATTTTTGTTCGAATTCACGTTTCGTATTTTGTACGGAAACCAATTCTTGTTCCAATTTTTGAATGTCAGCTTGATGCGACTCATCGGCCTTCTTTGCTTGTTCCAAATTTTTCTGTGCTGTTGTCAACTTTTTCTGCGAATGGGCCACCTTTTCTTTGGCCTTGATAAACATCGGATGCTTTTTACTCATTTCGGCTTCCTGCAAATGAGACGAATTGATTTTTTTTGATTCAGTAAAAATGTTCCTATTTGTCATATTGTGTTTGCAACAAAAATAATTAACAACAATTTCTCCAACTTACAACAACACGAATTTTTTGTTCCAATTCGGCCAATTCACGTGAACGTTTACCCGCTTCTTTTTTCTTATCTTTCAAAATTTCATCAGCTTGTTCTTTTTTCTTTTCAACATCAGTTAGTTCTTCTTGTTTCTCCTTTATCTCATTCATCAAACGTTGAATATCTTTTTCGATATAATACAAACGGAATAATTGACACTGGATTTGCTTTTCAGCCTGCAAAACAAAATCAAATCAACAAATAGTATTATGCTTATGGAAGCAAGTTATCGAGATTAAGTAAACACAAAGAAAGTTTTTGTTATAAATTTCAACGAATCTATATCACAAAAATAATCAAAAGACGGGAAAATGAGCTGATTCACCACGATTGATGATAATGATACTTACAACTTCATCTTTTAGACGTGCATATCGGTCAGCTTCTTGCTTTTCAGCCTTGGCTTCTTTACGTTCAGCGGCAACGCCTCTCTTTTTCTGGTATGTATACTGTGTTTCCTCTTCAGCTTGTTGCATTTCATATTTTAATCGATTGTATTCATCTTTCAATAAACCCGAGCCACTTATCTCTTCAAATAGTGCCGTTCGTTCTTTGGCATTTTTCATTGCAATGCTTTCGACAGCACCTTGAAATACCAGAAAATTTTTCGCTTTCACATTGATTCCCAATTTTTCCAATTCTTCCAAATAGGTTCCGCTTTGAACACCCTGCAAAAATGATTACAGCGAGAAAAAAAATCATTAATATTTGCTCTTATTCGAATAAATAAAACAAAATAATCCATAAAGATAAGTTACCTTTCCATTAATTTTATAATCGGCCGATGAACCGATGACCGATCTTTGGAAGTCAATTTTTGTACCATCGGGTAGTTCGAATTTTGCGGTAACAAAACATCGATTGGAAACGGGCCGTCCAATTGCAGCACCGTGAATTAATTCGCTAAGCCGCTTCACACGCAAACAATTTGTTTTTTCGCCCATCACAAAACTGATTGCATCCATGAAATTCGATTTGCCTAAAAAAAACAACAGACATTTTCATTTGCCGAAAAAAATGTGATAAATTTTAAAACAAACCGGATCCATTTGGTCCAATGACGGCTGTAAATCGTTTCAATGGGCCAATTGAAACAAAACCCTTATAGGATTTGAAGTTTTCCACTTCAATATACCTTAGAAATGCACTCATTGTTTAAATTTTACTTCAAATATACGCTCATTATACAAACAATATTTTTTTTTAAAAATATTAAAACAAGAATTTGACAAATACGACGAGAATATTTTTGTTTATAATGTTCGTTTCATTCAGAGTAGTTTCGATTCAAACAATTGCTTGCACAACACTTTTGACGCTTGCCTCAGAACTAAAAAACAATATAAACTAACGAATGAAGAGAAGAAGAAGAAGACTTCGCTGCATTTATTTCCCTCTAACAAACTTGGCATCAGATAAATGTGTGCGCGTGTGTATGTGAAATCGCCGCATTCATTCATATGGCAAACTGAAGAGGGCGCCATCAACAAATCGAACTTTTTTTTTGACGTTTTATAAACGTAAAACATTTGGCAATTTCACATCAGACATAAACACTCACTCACTGCTACGAAACAATAATAAAGAAAATTAATTGTGAAAGAAGAAAATTGAATAGAATTTTACAATGTCTGACGAATACGAGCAAGTTGCCCGTGGTAAACTAAAGCTAAAAACCGATTCGAATAAAGTGAGCAAAAAAAAGAAGAAGAAGGACAAGAAAAATCGCGAAAAATTGGAACGCGAATTGGAAGAAAGACAAAATGTTCAACAAGCACCCGCACGACAAATGACCAAAGCAGAACTCTCGTTTAAGAAAATGCAAGAGAAAATGGTAAATACAATCGAAAACATTTCATGTTTATTATTTCTTTTTGTTTTTCGTGCATGCAGTAACATATAAAATATACTGTAAATTACCAACAAATTTTTAAAATGAAAAAAGAAAAAGGTTAAATACTGAATCGTTTCTTCTATTTTCAGCAAGAGAAACGAATCATGGAGAAGGCATCGCTAACACACAAACAACGAGTAGAAAAATTCAATGAACATCTAGACAATTTGACCGAACACTTTGATATTCCGAAAGTTTCATGGACAAAATAGACGTCAATGTGTATCAATTCAATTCATCGTCTATTTTATGTCATTCTATTTAAAATTAAGTTTAGAGAATAACTTAATAATAATATTATGTTCTGGCGGTTGAAATCATTTGGATTTCATCTGTGTGGAGGAAATTTTCGTATTTCAATCACTTTTGAATATATTCGTATTTGAATTTAAAATGCACGTGAATTTCCACACGATGGATCAATAGCAATTTCATCAAAAAAATATTTTCCCTTTTTAACATACAGATTTGCACCAAGAATATGTTTTTTCTTCAAATATTTAGAAAATAAATACAAACAAAAACCTCATAAAGTTATATAATCAGATGTAATTTATTTCGATATACAAAATTAGTAAGTTTATTTTTTGTTTTAGTTTTGTGGGGTTTTAATTTCGTAAAATTAATACAATTGCTCTACGTTATACAATAGAAATATTCTTATTAAAATTGTTTCTCTATTTTTATTTCGAATATTTTCAATTTTCAATTAAAAAAAAAACAATAATAGAAAAAAAAACACGAACACTAAATTGTAAAATGTCCGATTCTGTCAAAAAATATTGAGAGTAAAATAAAGACCCAAAAATGCAGACATTAATTTCAATTGAAGTAGTAATAAAATCAAAAATTTAAGTAAATAAATCCCCGTTTATTTTCTGTGTTTGGGCAATGTTGTCATTTTTGCTTGTGAGGAACTGCGCACCGACGACAAATCATCCTTTGATCTGCTCTGTATGTGATTTCCTCGTGTATCTCTGGTCAAAGTGCTACTGGATTTCTTCTAAAAAAAAAACAAATCGACGATAAATTCATCAAGTAAAATGGCATAAGAAATGAAAATGATTTACCTTTGGATTCTGCATCGTTTGTGAGTAATTAATTTCATATCCGTCCGATAAGTGACGTGGTGTCCAAGGGGCTAGCATAGATACAGACCGCGAAACGGTTCGTGTCATTGGTTGCATTGGCGATGATGATTTCGATTTAATTGAGCTCAGTTCATCGCGTGATTTTGACGAACGTCTCGAACTTGTCACATACGGCTGCGGAATGTGACCAATGGTTGTTGCATGCAAATAAACAACACTTTGTTGACTAGAATCACCTTCGGTTCCAGAACTTTCCAAGAAGCGATCACTACAACAGCGAACAATATTCAATAATGATAGGCATAAATTATGAGAAACAGAAATTATGTTCTTACTTGGATAAAGCACGACGTCTGTCCGATTCGCGTGCTGGTTTTGTTGGGCCTTTTGGTGGCAAATGACGAGTTTCACTATTCGATCGTCCATTTCGTTCACGCAATGCACTTCGATGCAATAATTCAGCATTACGTTCATTATACAGTGAATTCTCATGGCTTACGTCGCGTGATGGTCGACGACTTGTACGCTGTGAAGTGTCCGAACGCATTGGTTCATTTGATTTTTCATTCTCCAAATATTCCATTGAATGATATTGTCGTCGTGACTTATGCTTATTATTTGGAGTTGAATGATGTATTCGAATTGCATGCGACTTATTTTCACCGTTTATATTTTCATTTTCCGATGTACTCTCCGATAAATCCGGTAAGTATTTTGAACGAACATCCTGAAAGAAGAATGGAAACTCAAACAAAATGGAAACGAATTATATTGTATGGTTTGAAATTACTCGGTGCAAACTCTGCATTGATGATGCTCCGCGCACCTTTTGCGATCCATCTGAATCGACACCACTACGCAGATTCGTATTACGATTTGATCGTAAATTTTGCAAACTTTGTGAATTACTCGTATTTAATGGTTCTCGTTTTCGGTTAGTTGTTGCTGCTTTTGAAAGTGATTCCATGTCTGTATCGCCGAAAAAGCGTAAATTTGGCGGATTTTTTGTTGGTTTGAAATCGGGCGATGGTGATTGAGCACGTTGATACGTCGGACGGCTTAGCGTTGTATTCGAACGCTTAATTGATGACAGTGGCTTTTTCGGTTCAGGTGCCTTGTTTTTTTTGGGACACAATTTTGTCGAAGTAAAAATGCTATTTGAATTTTGGTTTTTAATAATAACAAAAATTGAAGTGTTTACCTTATTTTTGCGTGAAAGTCGTTCGAGTGATTTGAACCAACTGGTTTTTGGGGTTGGTTTTGTGGATACATCATTGCTACGATGACTCGATACATGCGATATTTTTGAGCTTTTCTGTGATGGAATGCGTTTTGGAATTGGGCTTGCTTTTGGAGTTGATAGACGACGTCTTGTCGCAATATCAATAGCATATGATTGCTGCGATGGTGGTGGTGGTGACTGGGGATGAAATAGCTCTACATCATTGTGCTTTCGAGACGATTCGGATTTTATCGAAGGAGGAGGAGGCGGAGATTTCTTTTTCGAACTGATTGAGAAGAGCTGTGTGAGGCAAATAGAGAAAATTTCATTTTTTTACTCATCATACGGGGAATGCAAAAAAAACAATGTTTAATGATAAGATATTATGATTCAATAGATTCGACTGCACAATAATTCTTAATTAGTCATATCAAATCATTAATTGAAATAAATGAAAAGACAATTTAAATGAAAGTAGCTTCTGTACCTTTTTCAAGCTGTTGAACTTCTTATCGCTTTTCTTTGTATCAGCCGATTTAGGACGTGTGAGTGTGCCTTGATTTTTCGATTTTTCTGGATATTTATCGAGACGTGGATCGAAATGTGAGCCATCGTCAATGCTCCGCTCTCGGAATACAAATTCATATCGTTTTTTACTCGGATGCAAAGATTCGGAAAGCTGACATTCTCGTTTCAAAAACAATTCGGTTATTTCTTTCACGCTATCGGCCAAATTCAATCTACGGAATCTAAAAATTGTTTTAAAAAAAGAATTTATGTTTAAATTTAACCATTTCGAAATGTGTCATTTGTGCGAAACAGCCATCTTCGAAAAAGAGAAATGTCTAACCTCATATTATTATTATCACCATGATCACGATCACGTTTGAAATCATGTTCAATACCAGAATCGGCTTTGTCCAATTTTCGTCGATTACTTTCAATGGTGATGTGATGTGTTGTGGTGCCATTTGCCAATTTATCCGGTTGTGGCGCTCTGCCCTTTGTTCGATGCTTATGATTTAGATTTTGATTAATGCCATTGTTATTGTTCATCGATTTCGTATTCGTATTGTTATTGTATTGATCAATATATCCTAAATCAATAACACGTTCATTTGATTTCGGTATCGCGATTTCATTAAATTTTCGATCCAAATAGGTTTTGTGACGTTGTCGCTCTTGTTCGCGTCGCAATGTATCAATATCGCTGAGAAATTCATCATTCAAATTTGTTTCTGGATAGTATTTTGGTTGTTTTGACCATTGTTTGCGTGGTGATGGTACAATATTCGGTTCGGGAAAACGTTCATCAAACGTACGAATATTAATCTCATTAAAATGATTTTCTTTCAATGGACTTGTTGGTTTTGTTGGTTTTGTGGGTAATTTTGCTTTTGGTGTGGGATCACGGCCAAAATCAAATGAACGTTCATGAATTTTCGATTCAAGTAATTTACGACGATTTGCCAAATGTTCAATGCTACCATATGATGGCCGTAATGTTGGAATGATGGGCGGTTCACTAGACGATTGTCGACTAACATTGTCGCGCACGGGTGTCATATGATCATCGAAACGTTTTCGATCATCAAAACCAAGTCCTTCATCTTCGTCGCTCAAATGTATTCGATGAATATATTCGGTTGGATGTCGATCACCATTTAAATGTATCGGCGATTGTCGATAATTATTATTTCCATGTAGTTCGCGATTTTTCTCATTCAAAAATTTCGTACTAATTGTTTGACGTTGATGTGTTGGCGAACGACTGTAGCCATTATCAACGGTGTCTGCACTGAAAACATTTCGAATTGGGCTACGATCTCGTGTTATCAAATTCGTTGAACGATGAATCGTTGATGGTAAATGATGGTCGTTTGATGGTGACTTTGCTTTGTCACCATTTTCATCTCGACGAACTTGAGCGTATACAATTGACGGTTCGGCCGGTCGTGTATAAGAAAATGCCGGCGAATTAAAATGTAACGGTGGTGAAAAACGATCCATTGATAAACGTTTTACCATACCATCCACTTTAAGTCCTTTGGTTAATGGCAATTTCTCTTGTGGTAATTGTGAACTGTGCAAACTTTCCAGCGAACGTGAATGATTTGCACGTATTGGTTTGTTTGCTATGAGTTTTGTTGGTTCGTTGTCGTCGTCGTCGTCGTAGTAGTCGTTGTGATCACTTTGCATTGGCTCATGCAAGGCCGGTGCCAAACGTTTTTCTTCGGATTTTGTGTAATGTAGCAGCTTTCGTTCGTCCGGTGTAAAACCAAAGAGTTTTTCACCCGGCGGATTTTCACTGATCGGACTTAGTTGGGATTTTTTCTTTGCTTTCGTCATTGACTCATCATTATCCGGAATTTTGATACGTTTTCGTTCGAGCGTTTGACTTTTGCCAAATGAATTATTATTGGCGGCAGCCGATTGTGCCGAATTATAGCCAACGTCACTTTTACTACGTCCAACCGGTTTACCTGTTCGTTTGCCACTACGTGGTGATTCAGTCACCGTACCACTGCTGACAGTGCTTAAATTTGGGTCACTTCGTTTGCTAAATAAATTGAATATTGAGGCTCGTTTTGGCTTTTTTTGTGACGATGCATCACTCACACTTCGGCCCAACGGTTTTGAAGACTTCTTTTTACGATGCGGCAACGAATTGAATTTACGATCTTTTGATTTATGCAGTACGAATGGAAGACAGATAGAGCATGAACAAAAACAGAAGAAAAAAAGCAATAAACATAAAAACTTAGGCAAAATAAGAATTTTTTTTGGGAAGAAAGTAAAACAATTTTAATATAAAAAAACGATCAAAAAATCGAATGAGTCAGTATTCCATTTACCTTCCGATAGTTTTTCTTGTAGACGAATTCCGGCCAATGAATTGGGCGTATCAACGGTGCATTTGATGCGTTCAGTCTGTGCAATCACTTTTTCAGCTTCCTTAATTAGTTGCTCTTCGCTTAAATCGGACGGTAATTCTCTTGTGATTTGTGGTTGTTGTGATGATGGTACCGGATAATCATCACCATTTAATCCATAATTGTTATTATTATTTTCATTAGATCGACCACCTGAATTTGACATTGGGAAGAATTTTCCATTTTAAGCATATATAACGATAATAGTCGAAGAAAAAATTGTCATAAATAATTGTATTGGAATGTGTTTTGTCTTAAGCAAGAAAATTAAAAAAAAAATAACAGAAGAAATAAAATCGAATTGAATGAAACGGTGCAGCACACAGCACGGACATGAGTGTGATCGAATAATGATAGTAATTGAATTTAATGGCAGCTTTAGAAACATTCTAAACGACAAGCAACGCTAATTGACACATCGTTGACAGAAGACCAAATAAAGATTGTTTGATCAGAAGGAAAAATAGCGCATTGCTTCGCATGAATGAATCTATTTTGATTTGTCTATTGTTCAATTCATTATATTCACAAACCGATGAAGTCAAATTGATCGAACCCATTATTTTGCACACCTGAGCCCATCATCATGCATGAATGATGTTGATCGTAATGCTGCTGGCTAGTGAAAACTATGTTACCGAGTCAGTGTCTGAACTAAAAATCAGACAAATCGACAGATTGATTGAACAACAAAAAACGATGCAAAACAAGCGAAAAAACAGTGTGTATGTGTGTGTGTTTTATATTCAGCAACAATAATAACATGACCTTATCCATATTTGCTCATGTGAATGAATATATGCCAAAATGAGTGAAATATACTGAATGCTATTATAATGGCACTTCATGTTTTTGAACGCTTTGTATTAGAGCATCGTTGTCGCATCACATTGCCGCTTTATTTATCTATCTCTCCTTTTTCCTCACTCTTTGGCCATTCGTTCGTTCTTTCATTCATTTGGATACGTGTGTAGGTGTGTTGCGTGGGTCTTCAAAATGCTCTCTCGAATGTGCTTTGGACTCTTTACTTTTCGTTCTTTTCGAATGCTAAATTTCATCTCAATGTCGTCATATCAAATGTATTACATCATTGGCTCAGAATATATATATACCAATGTGAAGTTTTGCCGTCGTCATTCGGTATTTATTGACTGTTTTTTTGTGGTTGTTGTTGTTCCATAGTTTGCGCCAATTTATATCCTAAACAGTAAATGCGGTGTGTCGTGAATGGGCGAAAACTAGACTTGCATTAACAGCTATTCCAAATGAAAAATGGTTAATATAGAGCAGATGTTGTAAGTAGAATAGTCGAAAGTCGTTTTAAAATCGTTTTGTTTTTTGTTTTATGTACTTATTAAAAGGGTCGGACCTCAAGGACTAGCGCGCACTCAGGTGCTACACAATTTTTCACTTTTCGTCTCAACAAAATGGGAACTACATTCTTAAAATGGGAACAACGAAAGAAAAAATGATAACCTTCAACCGAAAGCGGTCTGTAATTGTTTATATCACGTTATTTCGTGTTACAAAGTTATCAAAATTCATCGAAAATTGTCGCCTTTGTTACCTCTTCTTCTCGCAAAATTTTACGTGTTTTTTTTTTTTTTGCTTCTCTCGAAGCAAGAGAAACACAAAATGCAGCGACAACGATTAAATCAATCTCAGTTGGTGTAGAAAAGTGTTCGCAACAAAAACACAGCATGTGCACATGATGCAATCCGAAACTGACTAAATGAAAACTGCATCGCAAGTTATCAACCAAAAATGGTAAAAGCAAATCACTCCATATTGCTGCAGTAGTCAGTCAATGTGGCTTTTTTATTCGCTGCCCCAAAATTGAATACGAATGCGAGCAGAAAAAAATTGACGCGTAATTTTGAGTCATGTGTTACAGCGGTATCATTGCATAATTGTTGATGGTTGGTGTTTTTTTTCTTTCGTCCCAATTACATTCACCATAAAAATGTATCATTGGAAAAATGTTCATTTCACGTAATTTACGATTTGCAGATTCATTCTTTGTCTGCATCATCCGTACATCATATGTGTTTATTGCATACTTTCCCCAATTCGATGCGATTTGCAAAAACTTGGTGCTAAACAGCATGCATGATATAATCTTTCTCTCAGTATCGCAGTAAAAAAATATATATTTGTTTTTCGATTCTTTTATATTTCCCGTTCGATAGAGAATAAAAAAAAAGTGTGTGCCATATTTGGCAGGTCGTTTTTTGTCGTTCACTTCAATTACGATTAGAAATTCCGTTTGAAGAGGCGTCCACCATCTCTTTAGTGCTGTTTGTGGATTTCTTTTTCAAAAAAAATTGTTTGTGTGTGTGTGTGTTTTTTTTTTGTGCTATTACCTATTCGTTTAACATGAACATCCTTATTGAATGAAACGCGTGGTCCATTTAAATTTTCATGTGTATGTGGCCGCTGCAAAGATTTTTGATGCGTATTCAACACAGCCGAATCCATCACAAACAACAAAATTTCTAATTTAATAACAATATATCTATATATATATATTTGGAAACTCTACACTATACGATCTCGTTTGTCTCGATTCAAGGGCTCTTTTTCTGGCTAATTGTTTTGAAGAAAGAAAAATAGACAAAAGAGAGACAAAGACTGAACAGTCAAAAAAATTATATATATGTGTAAAATTACGAAGAAAATTGCAAAAATTGAAATAAATATGAATAGAATACGAATATAAAATTAAGAGACAAAAAATAACGTTAGGGTTTAAATTCCAAAAATGAGGTTCGTCATCTATAAGTGGAAATGTGTGATGTTTTAAAAGAGTTACAATCAAGTTGTTGTTTGTTTAATTACTGGTTTAATTGTTAAAATGGAGTGATTGCTGTCAATTGTGGGATGGTGGGGACTACTATAGTACACATCAAAAACCGTTTTTTTTTCTACACCGACACACACATAGAGATGGAGAGAGATCATAAGTTACATGAAAGGATTTAATTAAATAATTTTTTCGTAGCATTTTATTTACTATTTTATTATGAGGATATTAATGTAAGTAATTAGCTGCAGAAAAACATAAAGTTTTAATTATGGATATATTAAAAGTCGTTACGGAAGATTAAAATACTTTAATATATTCAATGTTAAATACTTTGCGTACAACAACAACAAAAAACAGCATATATAGTTTTTGGTCATGACTAATTGAAATGTCTTGTTTGAACGAACGGTTTATTTAGTTATTAATAACTTATTATACGCTTTCAACTGAGACTCGGTCGATGGTTTGATTGATTGTATTGAAGGAAAGTGTTAGACACACACACACGTTCACCCGAATGTAAACATTTTTAAAAGTATATTATTAGATAAAAGTTTTGCAAATACGGCATAATTTTTCTCCATTTGATGGTCGAAGCAGAGAGGTGGAGGAAGAAAAAAACCAGATCATCGATAGAGTTCTGGAATAGCTGATGATGTCATGCCTTTTCAATACAAAACTCTTTTCTTCTTTTCTTTCTGTTGAGTGTGTGTTTTTTTTTTCACTTCTCCCAATAAATATACTTAATGGAATTAAAAGGAGAGAAAAGAAGTCGCGCGTGAAACAAAACCATATATGTAAATAAAATTTAGAATTTATTTGAACCTCTCTCTCTCTCTCTCTTTCCCTGTGATCGAACGAGCGAAAAAAAATGTAAAAATGAACGAGAAGAAACACACGAGCGAAAATAAAATAAACTTAAATGATATTCGAGTTCGCGCGAGAAATTCGAATGCAAAAAATGAGAGAGAGAAAGATAAAGAAATAAATACCTGTTTGTTATTTGATCATAATTTACACATTTTTATTATGCATAATACCAATCAACCCGGAGAGTTAGATTTAAGTTCAAATTATCGCAATAATAACCATGAAAATGTGTGTATTTGTCGTTTTATTCAGTGCCGCATAGTAGGAATAGAATTTCGTGAAGGAAAAATAAAATATTGTTGTCAAAAAGGTTGATAAACAGCACAAATTGAGCCATAAACAAAAAAACCGTATCGATCTTATACGAGATTGAAAATGAAACTTTAAAAATGCCAATTTGAACATTTGTAAATGCTATGCACTGAAATTGTGTGCGACTGAAAACACTCTCCGCTGGCCATGTACCTGAATTGAATAATAATTATTGTCAATCACGATTCTAATGTGAATTTTTTTCTTCGCTCTTCATTCTCCCTTTTCCGCGCCTAACCGAAATTTATCGCATTAATCGAATGATATTACACACTGAATTCATGAGCACACGATAAAAATAGCTTCGTGCATACAATTAGGTATACATTTTTTTCTACTCTAAATAGAGAGTATGGTCCAAGGTACACATCAAAACATTAAAACATCAAACGTAAAATTGACTATGCGAATACTTCAACAGAATCGCGATGTCAACGACGTCAAAGGAGAGTCAATCAAATTCAAGTAATAAGCGATTGAATAGAAAAAAAAACCTGTAGAGACAATAGAGGATTTCAAGTAGAAATGCTTTAAATCGTCGTCGCCACCACCAAATACCATAAGATTATACCCATGAACTGTGTAGGCGCCATTTAGAAGAGATTATTCGCACGTTCGCATTCTTTTTATGTTTTGTTTTTTGTTTCATCGTCAAATCGTGTAACCTCACGAATAATTATATATGTGCTTGTGTACGCGAGCACACATTCCATCGTAATGGACATAATGTTAAAATTCAATTGCGAGTGATGAAGACAAAGAGAGAAAAATAAGGTTCACATGCCATTTCTCGATTCTCAATCGCCGAGAATTAAAAACAAAACATACAGAAATATTAAATGCGCATGCAAATGAAGTAAAAGACGATACGTTTACTTATAAACTTTTTATAAATTATGTGTGTGTGCGTACAGGTGACAATTTGAAAAGAATACACGACAATAAATGAATTATTTGAAATTTGCGATGTAAACACGCCGAAAATATTCGCACATCTTTCTGCATGATTTCGTTAGAAGAGAAACGACAAGTACAAATACAACAAGACGAACGAACGAAGGAGATAGATAAAAACAACCGTTTCATATTTATATTGATATTTAGTAGAAAAACTTGAAACCGTGCAAATATTTGATTGAAAATGTCGCGAACATGGTTTTAATTTTATATTTTACACTCATTCATCTGTATGCAAACAATAAAAGATTCTTTTATTACGAAGAGAGTGAAAGAAAATGAGTGTAAACAGTGACAAACTTCATTTTTACATTTTACAACGATCCATTGCAATTTAAGACATATTTGACACTGTCGAATATATATCTGCCTGAATTCGGGTGTGAATCAAATAACTCTTTCGAATTTCAATTATGAATGTCATTAGCATGCAATTTTTTACAATAATTTAAATCCCAATGGCTCAGTTAACACTTAATTCCTTACTAATATAACGGATACATTGTGTCACATGCCTTAACATGAACAAATTTCAGCGATTTAAAGAGCAAAAAATGCGTTATTATTTGATAAATTTGTCATTAAACATAAATTTCAATATTCGACCACCAACGTGTTTGAACCGAAAAAGAGAAGCGAAAATGAACTTCTATATGAATTTGGAAGCTATTTTTAATCATCGAAAATCGCATTTTAATGGTGGATACATGCCATTTGAAAATTCCTGTTTTTGGTATAAATGTGAAACCGATGACCTTTGTCCTATCTACAATATATCTCGCATGAGCGATCGTTGTCTTTTTCTATGCGCGCACATGAAAACCAACAACTCATTTTTTTCTCGATATTAAGCGTTGTTTCGGTCAAAAATTTGTGTGTTATTGCCGACAACATTGAATCGCTAGTTAATTATTGCAATATGTGTCTCATCCATTAGCATTCGATGTGACTGCAGTACAATTTATTATAGTATTTTGTGTGTTTGACATGTTTTATTTTTGTTTCTTTTTTCTCTGCTTTAAACAGAAGCGACATTAGAATGCCATGCAAAAATATGATTATGAGTCGGGTCAGACTTGTTAGATATAGCAGCAAATTTAGTCAATGAAATTGTTTTAATGACCAAAAAATCCTTGTGGAAAGTCCAAAAAAAATTACATTCCATTCCACGCGAATATTTAAATGCGCAATATGTTTTTGTCAATTTTTGTGCGAACTCATCAATGAAGTTTTAAAAATTGTAATTTTTGTTTTTCAATCCAAATACAAATTGAAATTATTAGTTCGCTCTCTTTCTATCTATCTCTGACTTTATTTCACCAAAAACATCATCTTTCAAATCGTCGCGAGATATTTGTTTGTTTTCAAAATGTTTCGAGTTATGGATTGAGCACTTCCATAATAAAATCTTAATTCGTAAAATGCCTGTTTGAGATTTGTTGTGTTTTTATTCCGATTGTCGATCGCATTTTCTGTATATTACTATTGTTGATCGGTGTTTGTGTTATTTTTTTCGACCGATTATTATACGATTATATACATGGGTTTTGCATTTTTTTTTTTTTGCAACCACACAAATAGCCATCCAATACTGGCCATTTATGGTTCTTTATCTCTTGTTCGCTGTACAGCAGAACTTTTTGCGTTTCAATTCGGCGGTGGCGGCGTCTCGAATAAGTAAATGGATGTGTGCGTAACAGTAATCGAAAGAGATTAATATAAAGTGTGACAACTTCAGCCACAGTTGAAACACCATTGCCATACTTTGTGTACTGTAGGTATTTTATTGGTCCATTTAATTGCTTTATTTATATAAGTTTGATATATTGGAGCTTGAGGTTCGAATAAAAAAATAAATAACATAGATTGATTAAATCACAATATCTGAGGTGGTATGCGCCAGCCACATGTGAACTGAAACATTTCGAGAGCACTATGAAAGACCATATAATTCGATGGATTTGAAAATACGCATCGGCATATGTTGTGTGTATGTATGTGCGACCGTCTCTCACATGATTTATGCGATATTCCAAATTCGATTCATCGATTCGGTTTTCAAATTTTATGTCGACAAATAGCCATGATTTATATAAGTTAAACAAATTGCTTCTTTGTTTTATTGTATGCATTGGATCAAAATCAGTTTTAATACGTCACATCCATCGGATTATTTAATATGGACAAGGGGTCGGAGGCGCTCAATGGCATACAGCACTTACAACCTACACGATATTTAAACACTGGCTCTCGTACATTTACAGCTGCCACTGTAGCTGCTGCATTTGTCACTAAAAACCACAATTTACGATGCTATACAGTCAATGTTGAACTGTTCAGTACATCGAGTGTTGGTGCTCATTTCAATTCGGCACAGAAATTCATCGCATCGATTAAACGAACGTTAATAGCAAAATTTAAGACTTTCTATTCATTTAAAATAAAATCAAAAATGAAGTATGATTCAGCATTGGCTCATTGCGTATGTGTTTCAATGTCAAAGACACTCTATAACACCTGAGAAGAGGCACATTTTTTGTTGCCCACCAGATTAACATGATTAACAACATTCATCTAAGTCACTTCTTTGTTACTTGTTTCTCTCTCTCTCTCTCTCTCTCTCTCTCTCTCTCTCTCTCTCTCATTTTAATCTTTTGCAAATAAAATTCATGAATTTTTCTTACGATTCATAATAATAAATCGCTAAAATTCGATGAACTTTTTCACATGTGCGCAAAATGTCTCTTTGTTCTTGTGTGCATTTATTTTTCTCTTTCTCTCTCTTCGTCTTTGTGACCGCAACTCGGTTGCTCTATTGATATCTATGACCTTGAAGTAATATTTATTTCGTTTCAGCTTCAGTTTCTCTATATCTCTATCTCACTCTCTATATCTCTCTCTAAATTCATAATAACAGAGAGACTGTGTCGTTACATTTTGGAACTGACTGTCTGTATGTAAATGTATGTTGTATAAACTTTATTGGTCAATTTTGTTGGAAGGAACAAAAAAGCCGCATACATTCTTCATTCTTTTCACTGTGACCAACACATTTTGTTTTCGTGTGAGAATTTAACTGAAAGTGGTAAAGTCACCATTTTTATATTCTCGATCTCTCATCACACATTTGCGAAAGCCACAAATTAAACGTTAAAAAAATGACCAGAAGTCAAGCGAAAAACTCTACGTATTTTTTTCTTCAGCCTCTCTCGAGAACTGGAAACCATAATATTATTCTAAATTGACGAATTCTTGCCGTCGGCGGCAAGTCATTAAAATATTTTTAATCTCACATATGTTTGTTAAACATTTTTTTTATTGCTCGGCGAGATTTTTCTGTAGAGATAAAAAAAAATTCTACATGACAAAAAAACAACTTATCGGTAACTGATCGTATCATACATGGATTTTTACAGAATTTCAATTAAACAAAAAAAAAATCTATTCACATTGCATAAACATATTGGTTTGGTTAATTAGATCCGAAGTGCAAAAAAGGGTATTTATTAAAATTACAAACAAAGTTAATAGGACTTGTTAGGTTGTTGGGTTTTTTTATTGCTTGTGGCATGTTAGGCTTGTGTGTACAGTTTTTAATATCATCGAAGTTTTATTTTCTGTTAATGTGATGCGCATTAGACAAAACGATACAAATAATTACCATACAAGAGAAAAAATAAAAAGTATCAAAATGAGAAGATTATTGCATTTAAATAATAAACACACATACATTAATTTGAATTGGAAACTTACTGGATTTGATAATAATGTGCTGGTCTCGCTGAATGGCTTCGCAACACGGGAATGACGAAGAAAATATAGGAATGGATATAATAAGCGGTAAATTTACTAGAGATAAAATGACTTGAATCGTACACGTTCGAATGGCACACTGAATAACAATAACAATCTAAACAATGCGGCTATATTTTGGTGCTTATTTTTTATGTTACTTTTTCTCTTTTTCTAATTTTTGTTGGATTCTTTGGTTGTTGTTTTGTTTCTCTTAATTGTTCACTTTGCACAAAATTTAAATCAAAGTGATTTGAAGAGAATTTTTTTTTTGTCAAAAAAATCACATTATCAATTACACTAAATTTGCTATCGTTTTCTCTATTTCTTGATGGAAAAGATAAAATGTATCACTTGAAATCAAGAGTTTAGTCAATTTTCATCGAAATTCTAAACAATATCAATCGTGTTGTGTTTGCACACGCAACAGCGACAACAATAAACAAACAACAACAACAATCTAAAAAAAAAAACAGTTCGTCACACACAACTTCAGTGGATCGTCGATAATATAAAACTGATTGATTTTGAAAAAACGGAGTTGGTTTAACCGTGTTTACGCGCGCTCAGTTTGCAGTTCTCTTTTCGCGTGCGCGAGCTAGTTGTTCTGCCATTTGCGTATGTTCGCGCGTACGCTCACTCTCGTATGCCCAAACGACAACGACACATTCGTGATCAGACACACTTAAAGACACTCTCTGATTGTGTTAAATCGGCAATCGTTATACGGCACTGGACCTGAATGAAGAGATGACAAGAATTAGTGTCTTTCTATTCTCCAAAAAGAAAAAATTGCTGCCTCTTCGCTGTCTCTCTTACACATGTTTCATACATTGGTTTGATGATGTTTTTTTGGCCAAAGATTGTTTTTTTTTCTCTTCATTTCTCAAGATGCGAAGCAATATGCGCAAAATTAACGAAAACATCGAATATACAAACAACACGTATATCAAAATGTTAAACGAAGTATAGAGAACGAGAGAAAAAAATGACTCTAACTGCTAATTTTAAGGCGTGTAGCTGTTCAAACAGTTTCTGCTATTTTTTTTTCTATCGCAACGAGAATCATCGAGTGCACAAATAAATACTGGTGGCAATTGCAAAATACAATCAGACCGATAAAAAAAAACACTTCATCACATATAACATACTCTGCATTCATACAGCATTGATTCAGTGTTAGACGCGCAATTAAATACAATTACATCAACTGACACAAAATATGACAAATACCAACTTATATTCAATGGATTGAATGGACATTTTAAAGCACCTTAACGATTATTCGAGCTCACCTCTAAACAAAGCGGCAACTATGTCTGTGGGTGGACATTCAACAACAGACATTTTCGATACGTATGCGGTGCGCGAATATCGTCATCATCACCATTATTATCATCAATAAAATCATCAGAAATATGTCCATTCAAGAACGCTGCTCAATTAGTAATTCAATAAATGCTATAAACAATAAACATGCTGTTTTATGAAGCATTTTCATGAAACAATGTTACGATTTGTAATCACACTATAGTGTGATCTATAGATCTATCGAAATGCGAAAAAAAAACTGTTTGTAAACAAAATGCTTTTTTTTATTAATCGTTTGATGTTTGAAATAAAGCTGTGCGCCATCTAGTGAAAATGACAATTTATATGGTTTGTTTTTTCAAAAAGCAGATATAAAAGCACGCCTTTTTGCGCCTTATGCCAACTTTTTGAATAAGGATTTTTGAGATCGTTATTAATCAAATAAAAAAACCTGTCGAGGTGAAGAACGATTGACGAAACCAAAATGTGAAACATAACATTTTGTATATCATTTTTATGACGAAAATAGTTGATAGATAATTTTTTGGGGTACTATGACTTAATATACATTTGTTCATTTTCGGAATGTAGCTTCAATGCGCCACCAACAATCTTATTATAACTACAAACACATTTAATTCATTTAATAATCATAGTAATAACAGCAGTTGAAATAAGGTGAGATTTCTTTTTCCATTGCACGTTTTTAACCTTCGAAAATGCAATTTAAATCTCACTCACATTATTTTCAATTATTTTGACTTAAATGCTTATATCGCTCGCGGATCAGGACTCTTTTGTATAAACTATATGCACCATTGCATTATACTAAAAATTATGAAATAGCAAAATTCAGCCGAATTTTCAACTATTGTTGATAGTCAAATCTGGAATCTTATAAATCTAGAATTCTAAAATTTGAGTAGACACGGAGGATCTAACCCAAAAAAAAAACAGTGCTACCACATTCGCAATTTTTATTTCGTAAAGTCGCATACTTTCTTATTTAGTGCCAATATTTTATGAAAGTACCAATGTTTAAATTCATTCCAATAATTGTTAAATGAAATGTGCTCAAAATTATCCCCTTTTTTCACAAAATGAGAAAATGGTTACATTTCATAACAAATATGTACTTAAATCGTCTGATTTTAAATATTTTAAATTGTATCCTTATTTCCGTCGTATTTCTTTATTTTTGCAAATTTCACAAAATGAAATGTAAAAAGTACGTACCTGTTGCAACTCGTTTTTAATTATTTATTTCATCATTTCCATTCGCTCAATGTAACTTTGTAAAGCTGCTAAATTAAAAGAGGGAAAAAAAACACAAGAAGTGAAACTCGATGCGATGAACTGAAATGCAAGTGTTGAAGAGTCATACAAACTTTTTCACTTCAAGCGAAATTAAAGTTCTCAGCCAGTTGGAAAAAAAGTACACAGTGTTTATTTTTTACTTTGAGTTTGCTTTATTTTAATAGAGAAAATACAGTGACCAATTGTAACATAGTGAAACAAAAAAAAAATTTAAGAAATAAGACTTGTTTTTCATTCATTTCATTTTCATGAATGTCGTATTTTGTGAGAGAAAATGAGGACGAAACAAAAATGTAACGATTTTTTTTGTTTTTTGTTGTCATAATATCGACGTGGATTCGAAGTGGTTAGTGTTATGATTGGAATTGATTTGATTCTTCGCTTTCTTTCGTCTCGTTTTCTTTATGAATTTGATTTTTTTCTTTTTCTATCTCATTTGTATGTAGAGTGTATTTAAGTTGAAAGTTTTGAATAAATGGAAAAATACATTGGAAAGATTAGTATGAGAAGATAGAAGAAGTAGTAGTGATAAAAATGATATATATCCTATATTGTATATGTTTTTTTTTTTTTTGTTTAAGTTTGAACACTGTGCACATATTGTGTGTATATTTTGCATGCTTTTTTGTTAAAATCACTTTCGTTCGCAAAAAGCATGTTCAAAATCGCACCAGAAATGAATCGCATTCGCATGTTATCACATCCCGAATATTAAATTTATACGATTGTATGAAGAAAAAAGAGCATATTTCGCATATAGAGTGTTATGCTACGAATCATCCGAAATGGTGCTGATGTGAATAACAAAAAGAAAAATGAATGAATCGATATGTTTCGAAAAAATTCTAGAAATTGTGAGGTAGCTTATCTGGCAAAAATGTGTGTTGTTTGATGATGTTGTTGTCGTCGTGGACTGAATAAAAAATTGGTCGGGATTTTGTTTTTCGTTAAAACTAATGATTTTACTAGTGACCGTTTCTTTTTATTAAATTGTACACATGAATCATGTTCACGCCATTCGATTCAAGGTGCGTTGACCAACCGATTTTTTACTCTTTCTCATCACTAACTGTGACTTAAATTCGGTTGAGAATGACCGTCACAAGAAATGAAATGTATTCACTTAACTGGGTTTTTTAAGAAAAAAAACCAAAAGCTACCGTTTGTCAATCCTTAAAAAAAAGTATTTTTTCGTTCCGTTAATAAAGTGAGGATATGAAACTATAAATTCTTATTACGTCCGGAATTGTATATTGAGTGTACATGATACGCTCTGTCTCAGTAGCACATTCGCGACGGAGTGTGATTACACATTTACATTGGCTTCGTGTAGGAGAATGAAAGAAACAGAGAACGAATGCGAAAGAGCCATTTCCAATGCCATTTGAACGAAATGCAAGCACTATAAAAAGTTTTTCTTTTTGATTGCACAGATTTGTTGTTACGATTTGTTTTCATTTTTTTTTATATTATTTAGTTTTAAGTTTTGTTCGCCGAGAATAAGTTCGGAATTGATTTGTACATTCGAACGAGAAGAATAAAATGAAACAAAACACACAAAAAATGGAACACTATTTTCTCAGCCTTCAAAGACTATTATGTTATAAGTGTGATACAGATTAGAGTTTATTTTTGTTGCTTAATCCTTTCATCGTGGATTTCAAAGTTTGAGAATTAGAACCAGAAAAAAAAAATTGCAATTGCATTCGTAAAAACTCAGTTCCGTGTTCAGTACCATTTTGAATGTGCAATTCAATTCCACCCAAAAAAAAATACATATTCTCGGCGACTCATTCATTTCACATGTGGGTGCTTAGCGCGCGTTTCATTATTAATTCATTTCGTTATATGTGTAAAACATATTTTATAGTCTATTAAATAATAGTTTTTTTTTTCATTAAAATGGGTTTTTCGTGTGACCGCAGCCTTAAGTAATACATAAACATGAACAACATTCTAGTAACATTTAATTTTCCATCTTTTGTTTTTTGTATTTTATTTTCTTCAATTTTTTTTTTGTCGTTAATCATATATAATATATATGTATATATAGTTTCCTAAGAACAGTTTCTTTTCTCTTCCCTATTGTTATGTTATGAGTGTGAATTTAATTCTCTATCCCTTTCTCCCTCTCTATTTAGCCTTTGACCCCCGTCTTTGGTCACGACCATTATAACGAGCTCTTGCTTATATCCATGTATGGCATAATTTCTATTTGTTTCTATGAAGAAAAGTTATATAATCGTTTCAAGCGGCAGCATCACCATCAGCAGCAAATCAAAGAGAAAAAACAATTTCGAAAATCGTGTATACTTGTGTTATGAGACGGAGAGAGAGAGAGAGAGAGGGAGAGAGAGAGAGAGAGAGAAAGAGAGTTTGTGTATGTGTTGCTTTCATTTGTTAGGACTTTGAATGTGTTTCGTCTATCGTCGCGATCGAATTATATTCTCACCTACACTAAACATTTCACATCAAATTGATTATTATATTATTGTTGTTAATTCTTTTTTGTCTTTTTTATTGTTGTTATTGATAAATAATCATTTTGTTTCGACGGCTTAGTTTTTTTTTTCATTTTTTTAAAATACAAATATATAATATTTGACTTAGAAGTATGCAAATATAGATGTTTGTGTAAAAATACGTGTAACAAATGAACAAAATGTTTTTTTTTACCATTTCTCATTTCAATTCAATTAAATATCATAAAAACATACAAGCTTGTATACAGTTTTTGATCAATCATTGTTGTTGTAGTTAATCATCAATATCATATCATATTATCAATCTCATTTTAACAAATATTTTCATTTTAACTAAAATTTGCAACCAATCTTCATCATTCCATTCTTTTTGTGTATATATATATTCTTCTATTTACGTGTATATATTTAAAATCCTTTGATTACACCATAAGCTTCTAAACTGCTCATTACCAAATAAATAATCCATAGACCAAATAACAGTATACCACTAATATATTTGGACCAACCAGGACCGCCCAATTCACCGCCGCCAAATACTTTCATTCGTCGGGCCAATAAAATTATTATCGCTATAACTGCTTCCGAACAAAATAACGTCACCGAAAATGCCAGGCTGTAAAGATACGAAACGGAAAATATATTTAGTGCGTGTGTCGGAAATGATTAAATGTCTTTTAAGATGGGCTTCGACGAAAATATCATCACATTTATCTGCGATCAATAATAGACAACTCCCAACAGTTTAAACTAGGGGAAAACCACGTATACCGATTTCAAAATATTTTAAAGATTTTTTTTTTAAATTAAACGAGATTTTTCAAAAACCTTTAATTAGCAGGAAGAATGATGAGAAAGGCCCTCTTCCTTAAATATAGAGCAGAACTTTTTTTTAACAAAAACAAACAATTTTCTCATTGAAATAGTATTCTCAACAACAAAAAACTGTTATTGAAATGTGAACTGTCCGCTAATTCAATCACAAGAGAATTATTTTTGATTAAGAACATTTTACTCATCAATTGAGGAGAGGGACCCTCCTCATTTCCCACTCACCATTCCTCCTCTACAGAGTAACAGGCCCCGAATGATTGGAATTTGTTCAAGATTTAGAATCGGCAAAGATTTGAAAACGATTCAAGAAAATGTGGAAATTAAATTTTGAATCATTGTGTCTACCCCTAGAATTTGGAGCTCGACATAAGCTTTCAATTATTTATATGCAATTAAAACTAAAAACTTTCGATATTTTGACTACTTCGCTCTCAAATATCGGAATTTCATTAAATTTATTGAAAGAATTCAAATTTCGATTCTCTTTCGATTTCAAATTCTCAAGTTTTGTTTAGCCGTAAGAGTTTTGTTTATCTTTGAAATTCTACTTACTTTCCAGGATTGACCACGAATTGAGATCCATGACACCAATGATAAACAGCGGCTGAAATGATAAATGATGATGATTTTTGAAACGTTTATCCGATTCTCTAAGACAAATTGAGGATATCAATCGTCGCATAAATTATGAATGTGAAAAAAAAAATGTTTTGCTTTGAGTAAAAAAAAGAGAAAGGAAAACAGAGGAAATGAATGGATATAGACATATATTTTATGTACGACTTGAAATCCTCAGAGAAGTACGATATTTTAATATATGTAAGTATACCAATGGTCCACGCCACACCAATGCCAAGGAACACATTTACAGCGTTGCTGCCAGTTACATTTCCAACGCTTGCATCAGCATACTTATCTTGAATGGCAGCCACTTTGCTCGCAAACGTATCTAATATAAAACGTATAAATCAGAGGCGGGGGAAGGCGATAGAGAGCGACAGAGAGATAAAATGTGAAAGAAAAAGAGAGTAAAAATAAATTACTATTACACCAACTGATACAATGTTCATCCGGGCGGATGAGGAGGAAAAAAGCATCGTCCGCATTAAAATAGACAGAGGGTAAGTGGCCATGTATTCACACCGAAGACGAAAAAAAAATTATCATCATCATCGTGTGTATCAATTCAATGTGATATTCATTTCGAGAAAATCGAGGCATGAAAAAAAATGCAAACAACATTGCTAAGATTCCAAAGCGGAAAGTGAATATTTCGTAAAAGCAAGAAAAATACACGATCATCGGAATTTTGTCTTTAATGAATTATTTATGGTGGGGAAGCGTATAATCTCGAACAGCGAGCGGAATTTCACAGGCCATTTGATCTCCATCTAATTTCAATGCTGGCTACTTAGCCAACGTGCTGATACTTTCAACAGCACCGACAAAAAAAATCAACAACAACATAAAAACGCAATACTAACCTGGTACACTTGTACCCAACGCAACAAAGACAATAGCGGTCACCGAATCTTTAATACCCAAAGTACAGCCAAAATGTGATGCAACGTCTCCAATAACGGCAGTGACAACGCCAATGGCAAAAATCGACACAACAAAGCATACATATCCACCGTAAATGTCTGAAGACGACGATGACAACGAAATAGATGAAGCGACAACAACGACGAAAAATAACACCACGAGGGTAGACACCGAAAAATCAACGAGGACGTGTGAGAAAGAGAAAGAGTGAGAGAGAGAGAGAAATTATTATTGACAAGCGAATTTCAAGTGGACGGTGAAAATGTAAATTGAAGGTTTCGTCGAGTGTGTATGAGTTTTCTTTTTCATATAATTCAAGTGGCCAGAAAAATACCTGTCGGTGGAATAAAAGCAAACAATATTTTCCAAAACAATGTCAAAAAGTGCATAATATAATCGCCACAACTTGGACTTGGCTCTTCGCATTCACCATCCGCTTCATCCATCGTTGAATGGTCATCGCCTGTAAAATTGAAATAACACAAAGAAAACCATAAGCAAATTAAACGAAAACAAATTTGTGCACGTTTCTATTCTCCCACCCAATTCTCCTTCATGGCATTTCGGTTCGCTTTTCGTTCGGTTTGGCATTTTAAATTTTCTATTTCCATTCGGGTTTTTATCAAGATAACCGTGAAAATTTGATTAAACTATAATCCAATGTTAAATGTCAAATGCAACTGAATGCCACTAAACGTGCCGAATAAAAAGTGGTCGGAAATGCCACCGAATGTCTGTGTGCCTGTGTGCCGATGACAATCACCACCAAAATTGCATAGAAACCACAACATTGTGTATGTATAATTCTATATACCTATGCAAGCTCCAAACATACCTGCACTCACTGTTAATGCATCAACGAATTGCTCTTTCCACGAAGACGTTCCGATAAGAAGGGAAGCATTTGCTCGTTGCACCAGTTTATCGACGGTATTCTGTGAATTGAAAATTGTCAGGGAAAGAAAAAGAAAAAGAAGAAGATACCAAATACATTCATTTTAAACCCCAAAATTAATATATTTCGCTTACACACTCACTAATTTCACATTAAAAAATATTTATGCGTTAAAAAAGGCAAGAGCGAAAACAAATGTTTCCATCTAATGTTAATTTGGAACATGAGATTTGTTTTAAGCGCGCACCGAAGATTTATAGTAATTTGGTGAATTGTAGAATGAAATGGTGAAACAATAGAATTTCATCTATTTATCTCACACTCTTGTCATGGTTGATTGCATTGAGCTTTCATATTTGTTTGAAAATTCCAACCAATAAATCGCTACGATGATGAACAAACCGAATGAAACCATAAATCGGTATAGCGGTGGCGCAGAATGGACGAATGGTTAGTTAAAATGAATTGATTTTCTAATTAAAATATTGTGCACGCATCCATATACATAACAATACAAACGCAATTACCTTGAACTCTTTGCTCTCTTTGATTCGCAATTGTGCACGAGTGATGTCGCCCATTTTTGGCCGGCCAAGTAATGCCATTTTATCTTTTTCCGTTAGATCTTCGGGAGCTTTTGCCTCAGCTTCCGTTATTGCATTAGCTAGTTCATCGTCTGATTTTTTTTTTTTCACAGCGATCAAGTGGTCGAACAAACAAATAAGAAAATATGAGAAAATGTTAAAAAAATATATGTATCAGATTTATTTTAATGTAAACCACAAACTAAAACATCTATGTCAAAATGAAACCAAATAATTTACATTCTTGGATGAATAAAAACAGCGCGGATGGGACAAAATTGATTATTTTGTTACAAGTTCCATTGTTCATTATATGTGTCCGTAAGAATAAATATGGCAATACAAAAACGGAATCTGAAGAACGTTACATAATTTTTTTTTTGTATAGATTGTACTATGTAAAAAAAAAAATATGTAACTTTCTTCAGATTCCGTTTTTGTAGTGCCATATTTATTCTTACGGACACATATGTGCTATACATTTACAATTTGGATTTTTGTTTTTAAAACATACACTATTTCTCGGAATTTTACATTTTCAATTCTGTATAGGTTTGAAGTTCAAACAAACGTTTTTTATTGAATAACAATTAAAATTGAATGAATGATTCATAGTTTTTTTTTCACTTCCTGAATAATTAGAAAATTCTTGATTTTATTGTCGAGAGACAGAGCGTTAAAAGAAAAATAGAAATGTAAAAAAAGCTTCTATTTGTTTTCGATATAACTTCTTACTAATCAAAACGAATGAATAAAAGATAAAAAAAGCAATTCTCTTAAATCAGCCAGGGTTAAATGTCAGCATTTTTAATGGTAAGCAGAAGACGAACAAAAAAAATGAAACAGGTTGTAACTAGTTTGTAGAACGCTTGAGATTAACAAAAGAAGTGAAGGTGAAGAAAATAAATGGAATTATAAGGATGCGAAGAAACGGCACTTAAGCTTTCAACGCGCGCGCACACACACAATGGGCCGCCTTTCATTCATTCAATTCGCATAAAAATTAAATGAAGAAAAAACAAAATGGAATCGGTGTGAAGCACTAATAAGCATGTATTTAGTTCAACAACACTTATTCCAATAAAAACACTTTTTCTTATATCTTCTCTGCTTTTGTATATGATGAACAGATGATAAATTTCACGTGCATACGTATATATGTTGAGATAGAAATAAAGATCACGATAACTAATTAGATTGAATAAACTGAACATTAAAGTCATTAGAATTTACTTTCATCTTTTCTGATGTGAAAAACGAACGAAAGAACTAAAAAGGAATAGAACAACTCTTGAGCCAAGGTTGTATCTTGGCTTTTATGAAAACTGAATAAAGAATGAGTGGCATTTTTTCATAAAAGAAAATTTTAATTCAAACCAAACATGAAAGTTTTGCATATGGTTTTGATTCTCATAATAATGCACTCAAACAAACGTCAATTAATCGTCAAAAAACGAAATTCACTTAATTGAAAATACACTCTATACTATGAACATATAAGAGCGTGGCCAGTAATCAAAATTTAAATGAAATGTTAATATACGCAGCGCTCTGCAGTTTTGCAATATTGTGTTTTAGCATAAAATATTAACGATAGAGAATGGAAAAGTGAATAAAACAAAATTGCCGAAAAAATGCATTTCGGATAGCATTAGGTCATGTGCAACATACGGAAGCTCATATATATACAAGCATTTCATTAGGTAAATTGCATAAACAACACAACAAAAACAAAATGCAAATGAGAGATTGGATATTCCAAAAACAGGAATACATTTGTTTACTCAACAAGAAGGCGAAAGGCAGAAAAGGGTCAAGGAATAACGGAAAACGAGAGAAAGAGAGAGAAATATGTAGATGTTATTTATTCAATGAAATCTATCGATTTGCACGATTTCGAGCTTCAAATCAGCAATACAAAATGCATGTTGTATCAAACAGCCTCGGTTGATAAACAAGATGTACAACGTATCTCAATGAGTACATGGCATGTGAAACGATCATATTAGGACCATAAATGGATATTAGAATTTTGACATGAGCAGGATTCACACAATATATAAATTGAATTTGTCTCTAATATACATAATACACACAATAATCGGTACCCCAAATCACTATACAATTTTCATAAAATTATACCATGTACCTTGATTGCATTGCATGCAATGAGAAAATTTTGCTTGCCACAAACAACAATAGGACTACATAACTATACAGAAGAAGATTAAGGAAAGTAAAAAAAAACATAAAATAGAAAAACAAATTACGTGGTAACTTGTGAGGGCATTCTTATCAAAGCATTCCATTTAATAATTAACCATTCATTATTAATGTGTGAAAACACTTTTTGATCAGCCACTGTCTCATCGGATATGTGCTGTTTTTTAATGATTAAGGTTTTTTTTATATTGGCCGTTTAAAAGGTGTTTTCATGTGTCACATAAAAACTCGTCCTTTACACAAAAACCAACAACGAAAAAAAAATCTGCGGTTTTTTCTTCTAATAATTTATGTTCTTGTTGATTTGATAATGGCATTCATTCAGACAATATTTACTTACAAATTTCATATGGCGCAATATTCACATTTTCACGTACGCAATCATTTTTTTTTGAATGTATTCGCGTGTGTGTGCATTGCATTCGGAATACATGGCAACAAAATTAACGCGCACGCAATTCATATTGTTGTTAGTTCATGAAGTTTATAGTAATTTCGTATGGCGACCAATTGATTTTCGATTTTTATCATATTTGGTCAAATATGTTTTGTTGGTCGTGTGGTATTTTTTTTGTATACGCGCGTGTGTGTGTATGTGTGTATTTTAATATCAATTAGATTTAGTCCATTTCGAAGTGGCAGAATTGTCGAGTCCAATTTTTATAAAAAGGAAATCGGTTTGCGTGAATTGTATTCATTTATTCATGGTAAATATGAGTTTTTAATTTAAACGTCATTTTTATTTCGTTCATATGTCGAATTGGTGGAAAATTGTTTTTAAATATGCATTTTCATTTTGTAAGTTGTTTTATTCATTTTTTTTTTGTTTTCATGTTTAAACACGATGTTTAGTGATGACATAAGAAGTAATAGTAGTAGAAGTTGTGCACACATCACAGTATGGTGAATGCAATAGAAAAAGAGAGAGAGAAGAGAAAGAAAGAAAGAAAATATACGGAATATATATAAATAATATTATATTATATAATATTATAAGCAATGCACAACAACAAAAAACAAAAAAAGAGATAAAATAAAAATAGTAACGCAAAAACATATTGAAAGAAAAAGAGAAAAGAAAACATTTTTAGTCGTCTACCATGTCAAATTGAAATCCCATTCGCAGTCATGAATATCCATGGAACAAATTAGGAAGGAGACATTTGTAGAGAAAAGTAAAAAATAAAAGACGATGTGGTGTTTATTTGCATTTCATACCGAATTGATGGAGTCATCAATTGGTCGTTATCGCGAACGCGGCGAACGCTTACGTACCCCAAATACAAATCGACCAATATGAATGGAAAATCGCGTCATTTTAACTATTTTAACAAAATGTGTTTCGGTTCGTTCGGTCGGTAAAAGACAAAGACACGAAATTCCATTATGGAAAACATATTTATGAGGAGGGTCTTAAACAGCATAATTCATTTAAGCATCCTTGATCGACATTCTATTAAACGGATGGAAAATTTTCTCTATCTCTCGAAACAACATCCAACTAAGCGCGGACGTATGAGAGCTAAGAGAGACAGAGTTATTTTCGAACGTAAAATGAAACTGTTGATCCTTTATTACTTTAAAATTAATTTGAATTCGCCGTTGCACTCCTTTTAAATCTATTTAAAATGAAACATGTCATGACTCATGAGTTTCTCCTCTCCCAAAAGCAAAATAAAATAAGACAAAAAGCGGAACACATTTATGGATTGAAACAATGTGACAACGTAAATATCACTGATGTCACTGTCTTGACAGCTTTGGATAATTCATGATTACCAATTAAAATCTAGAGAAATGCTTAAGCGATTTGCAGTGGATGTGTGCGATGGTGTGGTGGTGTTGGGCCAAAAATGCTCTCTGATTTTTTACTTAATGGCTAAAACACATCAAGTGCAAAGTGTGGATGACAAAAAATAATAATAATAATAATGCGAAAGGCAAATACACAATAAAGTGAATAATGACGGCAACAACAGTAGCATCGAAAAGACCCGGTTCTAAAACGAAAATTAAATTCATATAAAATTTATGTCAATTTAATTGGTATTTTGGAACCGGATTTGTCCTATACTACTAGCAACAACATCAACAAGAAATGAAAAAAAAAAACGGTGTCGTTCACAAGCGCATAAAACAGAACTCTATAAATTATAAAAATTAAATTTTATGTTTTGATTAACAAATGATTCCCTGAATATTCGTTCGGTTGCACCCGATTTCGGAGTTTTTATTTGTTGTGGGTTGTGTATGTGTGTAAGTGTGTCCTTTAAAGATTTAATTCAATTTTGTCTTATTTATACTTATGGTAATATATATATATATATGCCCTAACTACACTTTAGCTGTGTGTGTGTATCCTCTATTCTGCGGTCATTTCTGATGAACGAAATATTTCATAAAAAAAATATTTGCGAACAGAAAACAGAGAATATCTATCAACGCGTTCAATGAGCGAATAAATTGTTATTTTCTTGTTCCTACGAGACTGCAAAACTGAATAAAACGGAAAAATATATTTATATGATGTAACCAACTACATACATCAACGTTTTTATACTTTATGTCTATATGTGTTATAGATTGTATCAAATCAATTTAATACGTTACCTCCAACCATTTGCGGTTCACCGAGATTGACGTAAAGCAGAACATCCTTTTCGTAGCTGCCTTCCTCCAAAATCACCAACGGAATACATTTTCTGCAAATAATCAAGAAGCAAACACAAAATCAGCACAAAATAATTTCATTATATATCAAATATTGATGACATTTTCGAGAAGAAATAACGAGAGAAAAAAAAACAACAAAATATCAACAACATCAACAGCAATACAGAGTGCAGTCGCGGTAGAAACAACAGCACCCTTTGGGAAAAAGAGGGCAATTTTCAAGAGCTGCAATTATAAATGAATCAACTGTTCATTTCCGTCGATCATCATCATCATCATCGATGAACGTTCACGAGCGCGCTCGTTCATCGTTTTAAATAATTCCTTGAAAATTCAGCATATGTATTACTTGCATACAGCAAACGGATTAGACACATTTTCGAAAAGGAGAAGCAGTATAACCACAAAAAAAATATATGCTATCGATTCATTTCGGCCATTTGGTTCATATAACATTCGTTCAATTGAGTTTAAAATACATAAAAAGAAAAAAGCAATAATTTTTCTTTGTTTTGCGGGTTGTTTCAAAGCTCAATTGCATAAGTTGAAGTAAATTAGTGGGAGAAAATACGGTATTAAAACAAGGTTCCATGACTGCTTATTAATTCGCTTTTGAAAATAGATATTAGAGAGAGAGAGAGAGAGAGAGAGAGAGAGAGAGAGAGAGAGAGAATGAGTTGGGTTCCATCAATTGTATTATGTACACACGCAATTTTTCCTATTGTTCCGCTATTTTATTTCTTCTTATTTTGTTCGTTTGGTTTCTATTTTGGTTTGAGCTTTTCAAATGCTTTATTATTTTTCTGGCAGAAAGTTTTCCACACATTCGCACACACGCAATCAGCAAACTGGTGGAAAATTCATGGCATGCTAACCACATTAAGGTCCTGCGTGCGATTTGTAGGTGGATAGTTTGCCAATTTTTAAAAACGGGAATGAATGCAAAAAAAAATGGGAAAGAGAAGCGATGAATAGAGAGAGAGAGTGAGAGGGAGCAAAATTGCTTGAAATCAGTTTTGGGGCGATCTTGATATGCGTTTCGGGTTTTCGGTCTGTTGCCGAGTCTGATATTATTTCCGGTATGGACACACACTCACACACAGTATATCCACAATGTAGGCAATCAATAGCAAAGTGCTGCTGCGTGCAACACGACTGAAATTTTATGAATTTAAACAAAAAGTAAAAATAAAGAGCAACTTTGGATTCCTTCAATTATTCACTAATTACTCGTTTCATGTGTTTTAGCATTATACATATTTCAGTCGTCGACAACAATTACGTAACAAGGTGTATATTTGCCGTTGCATTGAAATTGAGCTTTGACTATTGTATGCGGCCGCAAAGTGGTATTCACTCAAATGAAACAAACCAACAAAAAAAACAGCAATAATATACAAAACACAAGAAAAGAGTGAACAATCCAAACCAAGAATGAGCAATAAACTTTTACTATGATTTTTCTTCTCTTGAAACCACAATGTTTGTATTGTTTTATCCATAAAAAAAAATAAAAAAAATAGTGGTGGCGGTGGACGTCGGTTTTAGGTTTATTGGAAAAATGGCCCGAAAACCGGAAAGTGAGCTGGAACAAAGAGAAAGAGAGAGAAAAAAACGAAAGGCATTACATTATTGCCGTATTTAATTAGTTCATCTCCCGGTTTTCGTATTTACAGTTGAGTAATAATACGAAAAATTGGTTCATTGTAATGAAATGAAGCAGAATTAATGTACTAATGTGGCGTCTGAAATATTCCGTGTGTTTATGCTCCTTTTCTAATTTCTATGCCGACATACTAACACACATCCATGTAAACGATGTATGTGTAGATTTTCGCATGTATTCGGAGCAATAATAAGCAATCCAAAAATCAGTCATTCGCAAATAGGAAATAGAAGCAGATAGAAGGAGAAAGAAATTGAGAGAGATTGAGCTCGATTCCCGTCTCTTCGTTGCTACAGCACCTTTTTAGCTCCTATAATACCCATGTGGAATATACAAAATTAAGTTGCTATTAATGTTTTCAATGTGATGTGGCTGCTCTTTATCATCATCATCATCATTATCATCTTAAGTTTTTTCTGAATATGAGGCAACGGCAAATCAAAATCACTAACAACTAAGTTACATGAATAACTATGCCATTAACTGAATGAGCGAAATAGGATGAAAAAAGAACCAGGTAAGTATTAGATGTACACACACACACACTTTCCCTCGTCATCTTGTGTCATCCCTCGACATTTCTACACACATAGATGGAGCGAGTGCTCATTTTATCAACATCGGAAATTATCTGATCAACGCTTTTGCTGTAAAATCGTGTATTTAGTTGGGCAGTTGAAATGTTTTTCCAAAATCGTATTTGCATACGAACAAAATCGGAAATTTGATATACACACCGTGTTTATATCAACCCCTTCAATGTTTTTACATGTCATCGTTCTTCTGCTAACCATTGCTTATAGTCTATGGTGACCTCATTTACGAATATATAATGCTACGAACCGAAAATGCTTTAGTTTTGAACAAAATATGGGTATTAACTGTGGTAAATAAGTATATCAAAAATGTATTTTCCGTGTATTTTTCATCATCATGGAAAAACAGAGGACAGAGTTGGATGTATGGTTTATATATGTAACCGTAGCCGAACAGAAGATATTTTCCGCTCCAAAAAACTTTGAACGCATTTTCGTTCGTTCATTATTTTTGAAGTTTCTTCTTCATATTTCCTTTGAACTAATGAGACAAACGGCTTTCCCCAATTAAAACTTCTCAAATAAAATTTGATTGTAAGCGCCACGGAATTTTTTTTAAATTCTTTACAGCAAATGAAAGAATACAGTGACACAAAGTGGTAAGTTTGACATACAAATAGCACCAGCAGCTTAGTAGACATTTTATCTATATTTGTGTGCCGGCTGCCGGGTCAAAATTGGCGAAAATGATGTCTAAAAAAAATTGTTTTCGCTGCGAAACTGTTTTATTGTTAAATTTATCGGTTTTATTGGTGGATCATGTGATTGAATTCGCCGCGTGTGACTTTCGATGAACTTTTCGATTTCAATCTATGGCCAAGAAAACAAAAAAGACAAACAAATGACTAACTTATTCAAACACCCCTATTTTAGTTTCATTACCACCATAAATTCGCTTCATATTTCGATGATCATATCTCACATTCTGTTGCAAGCATTTCAAACCATTTTCAATTAATAACTTTCCGACACGTTTCATTTTATAGCGAGTGCACACACTTTTTCCTTTTTATTTGCGCTCGCTGTAAAAATAATTTATTATATCAAAAGAGAAAAAGAGAGTATTCTGTATGAAAAATTGCTTGCATAGAAGTAGTTTTTGGGGTGTTTCGCATCACTGAAGATAGAAGTAGTTGTTTTTATTTCTGCTCTCTATCTTCTCGACAAACGAAATCGTGCCAAATGTGAATATTTTCCAGTATGTTTGTTCTATTTCGTTTGCCAAATGCACATGTTTTTTTTTTTTGGGTTGCACTCTTAAACAAAAAGATAAAAAAACCGATTGGCTGCACTGCGTTTCGTATTCATCGAAAAATTAGTGAATGCAGCTCTGCATGACGGCTTTCTTTTTCTCATAAGGCTGGCTTAAGTATGAGAACAAAAAGAATTTGCCCGATACAAGAAAAGAAGCAAAAAAATGAACAAATGGCAAAAAAACAAGCGTAAGAGAGAGAGAGAGGGAGAAAATAAGCCATGCATTTCCCGGCGACGAGCGCTTGAGCATACTCGCAACTCATGCGAATGTATGCACACAAGAAATGTAACACATCTTAATTGAAACCAATATAAAAATAGGACATGTTAATCAATATGTAATGAAGTTTAGTTTTAATTTGAACACACGATGCATTTACAAGAGACCGACATCGAACTACTTCGCTGCATAACAAAATACGAGAGAGAGAACAAACCGACCATTTTCGATAAATAAATCCAATTTGTCTGGCTTCTAATGTTTCTTGACTATGAATTAAGAGATTACTATGAAGTGCACAGTCTGTATATAATTCGCGCGCGTACATTGTGTTTGTTCAAATGCACACACCGACCCCAAATGCTGCTTGTATTCAAACCGTTGCATTTATGAGGACGGATGAAAAAAACAAAAAACAAAACGCCGAGTGACAGAGAGAATAGAATAATGAGTGAATGAGCGACAGAGAAGAAGATGACGATGCAGCAAAACCGACCGATTCACTCATTTACAGCCCAAAACACCAAACAACATGCATAGTACCACATGCAATTTTAACCATATTATTCTACATTGTGGATGGAGTTCAGTTTCGATTGTACTACTATGCAAAAATATAAACTGGCCAGTGGCCACAGTGTCTCTTGCACATTCTCTCTCTCTCTCTCTCTCTCTCTCTCTCTCTCTTTCTTTCTCTTCGAGTATAATCATACTATCTCTCTGAACATATTTATGCGACATTGACATTCTATTTTACAACGAACAGTCAATTCGCTATGATAGTCAATCATTACCATTTTCTCCCCTCGAAATTGGTTATGTGTCTATATATAAATGGGAGAAATTAGTCCTTCATACTAATTAACCAAACATCATATTGTCGATAAGATTCCAATGTAATATTCTGTGTCCGACTTTATGTCTGCGTACAAATAGCGTGTATTTTTGCTTACTTACTAGCATTCTTCTCTCGTAAAATGCACATAACGAGAATGTATGCATGCGGATTGTGCGCGACGGAATTCCGGTTGTCTTTAATGGACCGTTTTTGTTTGCAAAACTTGCACATTTTGCAAATCAACATTTATGACATGGCATTGCATACATACTATATAGCAAATTATTATGATTTTGCTGAGTTTTTCTATTGTCTCTTTTGATTGTAAGTTGGATGAATGAATTCCCAACAACAGTGGAGAAATAGCAAAACACAAAAACCAAAATTGAAAACATAATGTGCGATTAGAGTAGCTGATAAATTGATAAGCTGCGCAGTGGCAGTATTTTGCGAACGACGGCGCTTTTATGTTTAGTTTTTCGGCGCTTTTATGTTTAGTTTTCTGAATCGATCTTTTCTATCGAATGAATTTTTTATTCAACAACAACAACAATAAATAATGATAAAAGATATAAATATTAAATGTGTTTTACGCAATTTAAACAGTAGATGGATAGAATGTTAGAGAAAAAGAACTTACTCGCTTTCGTTATTATCAAATTCCAATTCGCCTTGCATCATTTCATAATCTTTTCCGCTTTTGGCTGTGCCGTCTTCCGTCCAATACGGCACTATAACTTTACCTCGAGCGCCCGAAAATCGTTGAACTTTTAATTCATAAACGCCGACCGATTCGCATAATTCATGATCTTTTGAGCTAAATGCGAATATACCACCATGATCATCATCTAAAATCATGACAGTTGCAACGGATGGTGTGGCCAATGTAACATCGTTCGATGCATTTGTTAATTTAACATAAAAATGTTCATCCTGTTCAAATACATCATCGTCAATGACCTCAATTTGAAAGCGTTGCTCATCGACGCCGGGCGGAAATACGAGCGTACCCTTTTTACCAACATAATCGCTACCTGCTTCAGCTGTTCCATCTTCCGTTTCAAAATCAACCGAACATTCTCGTGTTAAATCACCATCTCGTACCACTCTTAATTCAAATTCACCGCAATTCTCCATAACTGTATAGTGGCCGGGTTGAAAATAAACCTTTGTCATCGCAACCTCTTCATCGAGAAGATCAATATCAACACGTTGTAGTTCGGCTTTCACTTCGCTCAAATCACTTTGAGCTCGTTCCGATATTTTTCGCATAATATTACCGCTACCCATCATTTTGCGTGTTGCTTGAATACGATAGAATGCACGAGATTTGGGTCCATTATTCATGAGTTGTTCTTGTGCCATAATTTCTAAATTTTCTAAATCGCTTTGTGGGTATTTTCGGCGTAAATTTTTCAATGTTGTAATGTATTCGCGTCGTGCCTCTTCAAAATCTCGTACCTCTTCGGTGATGATGCCACCATCGGTAAAGGATTTTATATTATCATCATGTCCATTCATTTCAAATGCTAAATCACTAGCTTCAGTTTGTACCATAACGCCATGCTTATTCATTCGATACTCTTTGCCAATGTATTTGTAAATAAGTAGGCGTCGATCGGCAATGTAGGCCGTAAGCACCGTCAATGGAAAGAACATAAAGGTTAGAAGACTTTCCCATGGCTCAACCACACCGGGTGATATATAGTCTAAAATGAGATACAGCCAAATATAGGCAAACACCGACCATGACGATGTCACAAAAAATACGCGTAAATGTTTAATTCGTCGCACTTCTGGTGTTGGTATGACAAGCACACAAAGTGCAATGATAACAAATAGATTATATGCAGCCGAACCGACGATCGTCGATGGACCCAGATCACCGGCCTCAAAATCTTTTCCAATTATTTCAATGATTGACAATAAAATTTCGGGTGCACTCGAACCCAATGCCATCAATGTTAAATTTGCTACCGTCTCATTCCATACGCGAACGACAACAATTTGCGTTTCACCATTTAATTTCCGGACTTTGACTTCTTTTTCTTTGGATGTGATTACTTCAATCGCCGCCATAAAACGATCCGATACAATTGAAACGCCAATAAACAGGTACACTAATATAAAAAAGTAAACGGAACCACGTATCACAACGTCCTGCAATGTTAGATTCTCTTGTGGTAACCATTTTTTTAATATTACTCCATCGACGCATTGAATCTTTTCATCTGACCAATCAAGACTTTTTGCTATTGTCGTGTCATTCGATCGAATTTCCAATTTATTGGCAACCGAACTACTACCCGTAACATACGCTAATAATATTACGAGAGCGATATACGCTCGATTGTGCCGATGTAGCGAATTCATTTTCTTTTTGTTGTTGTTGTTGTTGTTGTATTGGATTTGTTATTTGTTAGTTTGTTTGTTGGTTTTATTTTTATTTTGCTTATGAACAGCCCGTAAATGGCATTAGAATTAAAAAGACGAAATAACACCACAGTCGTATTAGTTTAATTTTATTATAATATATATGTGTGTATATAATTTTTCTTTGCTTCTTAACACCAAATATATATATATATCTGTATACGTTGCTATCAAAGAAATTCGTTATATATAGTATAGTATGTCTTGTGATTGTTTATTGTTTATTAAATAATTCCTCGTATCCTTAGATGTTGATGTGTTAAGTAAACAATTTATACGTAAAAACACTTGCACATTTAAACACGCACACGCACATCAATTGATGAAAACGATTAAAACAACGCTGACATACTAATCACAACAGAATTAGATAGTTAGTATTTGATTTAATCATGTTTACACGATTTATATCTATGCAAAACTTTTGCTTTATTTTAAATGGTATTTTATGTATGGGAACGGCTCCGATTCAGCTGTATTTCATACACTGGCGTGCGAATAGACAATGGCTTTTAAGGAGTGAGTGTGTGAGCGAGTTGGAAAGTAAGTGACTGACTGAGTGAATGAATTGCATAAATATGACACGATGTATACACGGTAAAATCAACACATTTTCTACCACACTGGATTTTCTCGTTTGTTCCAAACAATTGGGGTACAGGCGTTGCTATTCATTCATTCATCCATTCATGCAGGATCTTATTAAAATCTGTCTCGTTGTATTTTATGTTTAATTTATGGATTTTGCAATGCAAATATCGTTTTTCGTTTTTTTTTTAAATATCTATTTACTTATATGGTGTGTCATGTTAATTCGTTTGATTTAATATTATTTGTAGTTTTTCGGTTGCATTAATTTTAATTTTGTGTTGGTTTATTTGATTTGATATGACATCGATTCAATATAAAGATGCATATGTGCAAGAACATTTCATTCTAATGCCGCCCATTCATTTTCAGTGCTGGAATCAATTTTATCAGATTTCTTTTAATTTTCTTATTTTACAAAGCAGGACGAAGGTTTGTTTCGATGCGAATTTTTAATTGTTAACAACTACAATTACATTCTCTTTTAAATTTCATTGTTGATGTTGATGTTGAGTTTTTTATTCTCACAAAATCATAAGTTGGTGATTGTATGCTTTTGATGTGGTTTGTTATACACACTTAAACTATTATTGCTGCTTCATTATAGCACGTAATTCATTATCAACCGTTTTTATGTTCGTGGCATTTATGATTACCGTACCATTCGTTAATGGGCGATTTTCCATCACACTGATCACTGTGTGTGTGTTTTTATTCTGTCACTTTTGTTGTGTGTACCCTTTTTTTGTTTCGCATTCGAAAATAAAATCACATTAGGCCCAAAATTGCGCTCGATTTGACAACAATAACAAAGACGAGTGCACAGGAGCAAAAAAGTGTCTATAAATCGCGAACTATGGTTCAAAAAGTTTAGATTATTTAACAAAGGCTTAACAACTGTTTGTCTTCTTTTGTCTTCTTTTCACTTTTTTAAACTCCCTTTTATATAATTTTTTTTGTTATTTTCTTTCCTCTTCAGTCAGTTTAGGTTTAGGTTTCTACGATGTTTCGGTGGCAGATAAATATTCTTTATCAAAAAAGTGTTGAACATTGTTTTATCTTCTTCTTTTTTTGCTTCAATCACACTGGTTGCAAGAAAAAATTAACAATATTAGTTGCAACATTAGTTGCAAAAACAAAATTCGTATGCAATAAAACAGGCATAGGCTCTTTCAAGTTTATAATTTCACTCAACAGAATTGTACTAAAAAAAACCAACAATAACGCACAGCTTTAAGTTCACTTGAGAGTCCTCATGAAGAATGTATCGTCAATGATGAAGTGAAAGAAGAAAGAAGAATACCTCTCGGCTGATGATTAAGCACTGAAGCGAAAAAAAAGATATATATTTTTTTTGGTTGCTCAAAATGTGTTAATCAGTTGTGTGTCAGTTGTGCCTCCTTCTCGCAAAACAGCAATAAAAAAAATCAACAACACAATAGGCAGTAAAAGGGAAAAGCGATGCAGATTTTTTAGAGTGAAATGAAAAAACAGCGTAAAATCCTCTACCATTGAATGACATGGAGAGAATGGGCTTTTCTATCCTTCTTGCGCACTTTTCTCTATGCCACACACACGCGATTATTCTTTTGTCTTATTTTGGAATTTACACATGATAACATTTTTGTCGTCGCGGTCGTCGTCGTCGTTTTTTTATTATTATTATTATTATTTTTTGTTGGTATCGTTCGTTTGCAAAAAAAGATGTCATCAGTAGAGAAAACTAGAAAATTAAAGCGTTTTAGATTCGAATAACAGTCCGGACTGAATGATAACGTTCATGTTAGAAAACTAAAACCGAAATGCGAACGAATTTCGCGAATAGAAAAAAGCCAAAACTGGAAAAAAGAAAAAAGAAAGACGACGAAGAAATCTCTTTCTTTTGACTTGAAAGAGAGCGTAAGAGCTCAAACAGCAACAACAGCAGCAGAAAAAAAAACAAATATAAGAGGAACACACCGTCGTCCGTACACGCGGAGAAAAGTGTAAGAATTTCAGCAGCAGAAAACGAACGAAGCCAAGTCAAGTCTCGAATAGAGTAGGAAAATTGTCAAAATGAGATAGATGTATAGTAAACATTGCACTCGACTTAACTCGAAAAAAGTGTGTGTGTTTCGTTTTTTTTTTTTTATCCTCTCTTCTTTTACGTTTTGCTAGCAGAGCTGATATATTTCGTGCGCTTCTGTTTGCTCATTGCTGTTGCTCTTCAACTAAGCTTTTTGAACACAAATCATCTGCCACCACACATAATACACACCGATACGTCACGTATCTAAGCGCTGAGTGGCGGAGCTGGATGAGTTTCTAATATCAAAAACTTCACTCATGTGTCGTATGTACGAGACTCGTGACTCGACTCGGCTCGACTCTATGGGGATATATAGATTGGGAGAACAGCGACAACACAATGAATTATATTAGAGATACGTACCACGATATAGAAGGCGCAACACACAAATCCAACCGAAACGAACATTCACAACATACGAAGACGAAAAGTGAGTAAGTGAGTGAGAGAAATATTAGAGAAAATGAAAACAACAACAATGTTGACTCGAAGTCAACACACAAATAACGGTCGACGACAACGACCAACAAGCACTCACACACAAAATCCCGAAAAAGCGTTGTGCCTATGATGTCGCGCATTTTAAACGTAATTTACTCATTTCTCAAGAGCAGTTGACTCTTCTTTATTTGAATGTGTGCGCCGTTGTATATATGATAGTATATGCAAAAAATTAACAAATTTTCAAATGAAAGAGCACCTAAAAATCGAAGAATATGCGCAGATGCGGAAAATGGAAAATGGAACATGTACGCAGATGGAATCGCACCAATGTATTTGTGCGTATGTGGTCAATATACAGAGAGCACAGTTGGCGTATGCGTGACTTCTGTTTGTTTCGGTATTTGTATGTGCCTGTATGTATATATATATATATGTGTATGTGTGTGGGAGAGAAAAACGGCATTTTTGGTTTTTCGCTTTCTTCGTTTGCTTTTCACCTCGCACGTTCTATCGGGCACGGTTGACGTGCTCACACACTACAATTGTTGTGCTGGGAAAAAGTTTTTTTTACAGCTTCGTAAATGCAAAAGCATTAATGATTTGCAGGATGCTCCGTTGCTCTGTTGAAGAAGACGGAGAGAGATAAGGCTGTTTTTCAAATGGCTGAAGGTGCTGGTGCTGTTATGGTACCTCTGTTTCTATTCACTTTTATATATCTCTTGAGCTTTTTTCATTTCATAAGCAGAAGGCACACAAATTTCATAGCCTCCGAAAATTGGATCAAATAAAAACAATTTTTTTTGATTAAACATTATACTCAAAATGCCATTTTCGCAATAAGATGGTTTGTTGTTAGAGCCTCTCTCTACTTTTTGATTGCCATTTTATTCATCTACATATCTCATTCACTTGCAATGTGGTTCTCGAAAAAGTAGAAGCGCGCCGCGTACTCTTAACAATTAAACAATCCAGAAAATGCTGCAATTCTTCATGGGGCGTATTTTCTAAAATAGTTTGCATCGTTTTATTTTCTTATTTTAACAGAGATGTGTGTGTGTGTTTTTTTTTTCTATCTAAATTGCTACAGCTGCTGTTCTGGCTGCGTTAGCCTCGTTTCATTGTTCGACAATTTATAAGTGGATGATAGTTGTTGTTTTGGGGATGTGCTTGTCGAATGATATCTGCATTGGTTATGGTATAGCAGCATTAAAGATAGAGCAAAGAGAATGGGTTGTAAGGACAGACCATAGTTCGAATTTATATCGATGTAGCGCAGCAGCACTGAATTTTGTACATGATTAATGAGCCAAAGTTTATCCAAGAAATAATGTATATTTCGTTTTGTTCGATATACATATAGATGGTTTTTTTTTCGTTTGGTATGTGCCTTTTCTGCTGATGCACATAGAGCGGCATTTTCCGCATTGAATATGCTTTGTATTGTGAAAAATGAAACCACAAGATTTATTGGGAAAATGTGGAGAGAGAGAAAAAAACGGGGATATGAAAATGACACGTCACGATTCTTCGAATCACTTTTTTTTATTTCTTTCCATCTCTTCCTCTTCCGTTTCTTTTACTTTGTGATAATATTATTCGTTTGATTGAGAAATCGTTAAGTGATAGGAATTCTATCATAAAATATCTGCTATTGTCGTTTCAAAGCTTTTGATCATCGTCGTCGTTTCGCTCCTTTTTTATTTCACATTTTTTTTTCTATCAAACTCAAGGATTTAGAAAGTGACTTTGTAATTTTGACATAAATTGAATGGAACAAAGGCGCAAAATTATTCGTATATATTTTTTTCCGTTTCTTTGCTTACTACGTTAAACCATTTTTTTCCTATTTGCATTGCCATTGATTTGATGACTCTATCATATATTGTGGATTTTGGGCTATTTTTGGGGCCACCGAGTGAAGACAAGAAATCGAATTAGATCTATTTGTCAATCATAAGTTGACGTCAATAATATAAACAATTTTTCTGCTTTTTCATTGCGGGTACGATTCATGTATAGCATATGTGTGTGTGGCCAGGACGCGATGAGATTATATGTGCCCTCGGGCAATAAAATACAATCCTTTTCGGTTTTATCGCTGAAATGAAATTGGTTTTGGGTTCTGAGTTCGCAACAAGATGCACGCATTTTTCGCTATTTGTGGTCAACACACAAATTCTTTGATCATGTCAGTTGAATGACATATACAGAACTTTTGTAAAATTTGAATTATTGCCTCTCATTCTCTTTCACTCAATTATTTTTCACTCTCATCCATTCATTCACTGCAACATTTCAAAATTGTTTACAACGACTGCAATGCATGTCATATGTTTGCATTGTTCGGAACGAAGAGAGAATAATGTGAGAGATGATGTAGAGAGAGATACATAATACATATTCATTGCAATTTCATTGTGCGTATAAAACTCACCTCCCTACATACAACATTGTAATGGTTTACATTGCGATTTTATTAGGAAGTTATATGGCAATGCAGTCCAACACCATTAATTACATAAATTTGTCAGTAATGACTTAATTACGGGATGTTGTTCGTCTGTCATCCTATATCAGATGCAACGAAAAAAAAAATAGAGAAAATTTATCACAAGCATACACATTTCTGATGTTGTGTGCATCGGCACATAAATCAAAAACGAAATGAAATCTGTGTCTCGTAAATAAAAACAAAACGGAATAAAAATGACGGTTTGGACAATGAATTGCGCGACTCGTGCCATTTTTTTCCTCCTTCTTCATAAATTCGTGGTCTCGAGCGATTTGTTGCGGTGTTCTCTAGGGCCAAACTTAAACACACGGTTCTATCATTGGAATAATAAAAAAAGAGAATAAGTACGTTCCCGCTGAATATTCTCAATTCACCAAAATCAAACTGTCGAACGCATTAAATATTCAACGTTTGCTTTTTTATTGAAAAGAAGAAAAAATATTGCAAACGAGACACGGAACAAGAGCGTAAAAAATGAACTATGAAGCTTATGTTATCCAAACACGCCACGCATATGCTCGATGTTTGTGAAATATAATTGATTGAGGCATGTTAAACTTGATATATTCATAAACAATTTCATTTGCATTATTGTAGTAGACGTAGCAGTGTTGTTGTTGTTATTGTTATTATTAATTCAATAAAACATATATTTTTGTCGGCGCGTTCTGCACTTTGAAAGTGCTCAGTTTATCGATTACGAAGGCAAAATCCAAACTTAAATTTTTCGACAACCGAAAATTCCACGTACGCTCTTTATTGCAAAACACATAAAACCGAATTTGATGAGCTTTTATTTAGCTCACCTTCTCTCTTCCTCTCTTTCTCTCTTATAACTAGAAAATGTTGTGGCACGAAATGAAACGAATGACGCACCAAACCAAAAAATTATTACTAACATTGAAATGTGCACCGAATCTAAACTAAATATATACTAGCTTAGTAAAATAGAAGAGAAATAGAAAAATAAAAGAAAAAAGCTTACTCAGTTTCATTGTTATTGAAAATGATTCGACTTGCTTGCGATTCGTAATCTTTTCCCCCTTTTGCACTTCCATCTTCTGTCCAATATGGCAAAGCAACACAGCCTCGGGCTCCACTCGCTCGAACTACTTTCAACTCATAAACGCCCACCGTTTCGATTAGTTCATGTTCTTGTTCGGCAAACGAAAAGAATCCAGCATGATCATCATCCAAAATCATAACAGTTGCAAGACTTTTTTGTCCAAGTATGGCACCATTCGTTGGATTACTTAATTGAATAAAGAATGATTCATCCTCTTCGAATATATCATCATCAATTATCTCAATATTTATAAAGCGTTCCGAAATGCCCGGTGTAAATGTTATGGTACCGCTTTGGGCAATATAATCGGTGGCTGCCTCAGCTGAACCATCTTGTGTTTGATAATCAACGCTAACGTGACCGGAAAAATCGCCCAAACGTACCACACGAATGTCAATACTACCACAATTTTCCATGCATGTATAGTGATTTGGTTGAAAGCAAACGGTTGGCGTCAAGTCATCCTCATCGATCACATTTACTTCGTTTAGATCGGCTTTCACTTCATTCGTTGTCTTTTCGGCGATTTTTCGAACAATATTACCGCCGCCAAGAATTTTTCGGCCAGCTTGAACGCGATAAAATGCATGCGATTTTGGTGTTGAATTTAATAGTTTTTCCTGTGCCATCATTTCCAATGTTGATCGTGCACTGTATTGTGGATACTTTTGTTTTAAATCTTGTAAAATTTTTATATATTCCAATCGTAATTTTTCCAAATCTTTAAATTCATCGGACATCAATTCAATGCCATTGTCCATAATCACTGAATCGGATCGATGCTCTTTTTGCGGTTGCATCGGTGCCGATGGATCAATCGTTTCCATTTGTACCATTACACCACGCTCATTCATACGATAACCTTTGCTCAAGTATTTATAGACCAACATTCGACGATCAGCAACGTATGCCATGTAAACAATCAATGGAAAGCACAAAAATGTAATAAAACCCTCCCAAATCGCAATTACGCCCGGCGAGAAAAACGCCAATATCAAATACAACCATATATACGCAAAAATTGACCATGTTGCTGTCACGAAAAATACGCGTAAGTGTTTGATGCGTCGCACTTCATTCTTTGGAATTACCACAATACATAAGGAAATTATGCAGAAGAGATTAAATGCAGCCGAGCCTACAATCGTCCCTGAAATTAAAAACCAAAGAAGCGACACGTTTATTTTACATCACAAAATTACCAAAACTGGAATTTCTAGAGCTTGTAACTTTGTACAAATAAAATGTAATTGTTACATTTGAATAAAAATGTTTATGCATACCTGGTCCTAGTTCACCGGCTTCAAAATTATTTGTAAATATTTCAATAATCGAAAGCAAAATTTCCGGTGCACTTGTGCCTAAAGCCATCAACGTTAAATTTGCCACCGTTTCATTCCATACGCGAACAACAATTTTTTGTTGTGTTCCATCTGCTTTTCGAACACTAACTTCTTTTTCGATGGCTGTAATCTTCTCAATGGCAGCCATAAATTTATCGGAAACAATTGATACGCCCAAAAATAAATAGCTCATTGCCAAGAAATAAACTAAACCACGAGCAAAACGATCGCCGGAGGTTATATTTTCTTGTGGCCGCCACATTGGCAGTATGAGTCCATCTTTGCACGTACTGCCCGACGAGTATCGGCTTTTTGTGGTTGGAAATTCTGTTTGTGTTTCGTTTAGATCAGCATATGCTGGCGATAAAGATGTTACATTTTCAGTTACTTCATCAGTTTTCCCACTGCCATTATCATCAACATTAACATCATCATCACTATTTTCCGTTGTACCATCATAATCGTGTCCATTTGTTGTATCCAATGCATCAACATTTTGTGATACGGTGGACATGTCAGGATTATTTAATTGCTCATTGGGTGTATTCAAATCGTTTGCGGCAATGGTAAGAACGATGCATAAAATTAACCACAGTATAAATTTTATCGCTTTCATTTTTATGGCCTTCCCTCGTTTTTTTTCTCTCGCTCAATCCACACACACAGGCACACACACACAAAAAAAATCGCGACACTAAACTACTTTCTTTTTCCTTGTTTTCGTTTTCTTTCTGTTTCTTCTCTATCGTTCAGCCGGTTATTTAATCAAATTGACGTTTTTTATGTGAAGGCATTAAATTAATTAATGCGATCGTTTGCGAATCTTATATTTTTCTTTTCTTCTCAACTTAGTTTTCAAATTAAAAACGTGTCACCAAAGTGTTCAAATATACAGAATACCGTCTATTTCGGATGATTTTTCCTCACAAAAATGGTTTTTTAAATTCAATTGAACCAAATGGAAAACTAAGAAATTGATCGGCGTCGCCGACATTTAGTATGACATCACTTTGCATTTTTGTGTGTATATTTTTCGAATTATTTATAATGATTTTTGATGCTTCTGAAATTTCTATGCTGCAACTCGATTAAAACATTTGTCACTTAATTCAAATTCAACTTTATGATGCACTGATGAAAATCGAAGAATTGTCGAGCATTTCGAATCACAATACCGGAACTCTATCAGATGCAATTACGATCAAAATGTCCACACATGATTTTTCTTTTGTTCAGGCGCAAAGATAGAACCGAACCAATAAATCAGCAAACCTTTTTGAATTCGAAAAAAAAGGAATTTGCTTCCAGTGCCTTCCGTCAAAAGAAACGAAGAAAAATCGAACTGACTGTGACACCGACTAAATTTATACTCATCCTCTCATCCTAGATTATTAAAAAGTGAGCGAACGAGCGAGTGTTGAACGCCAGAGAGCCATTTGCCAAAAAAACACAGAGCGGCCCTAGAACCTATAGAAAGAGTGTGAAATTGCCGCGCTCATATTTAAATTAAAGAAGAAAAATAAAAAAGAAACCGAGCAGAAGAACAGAGAATGAATGCCCAATATTCATATCGCTTCTCTATTCGATAGAGACAGACGAAATTGAGTCTATTTTTAATTTCATGAAATAAAATATAGTAGCTGATGTTGGTGTATAACATGTAAGTGAGCGAGAAGAATAAGAAAATAGAAAAGAAAAATATACAACATAGAACGATTAATGCACGATGTGATCGTGCATATATAGCACACAAAATAACTTATGCTCAACAAGTATGTCACTGAACAAAACGCAAGAGTAAGAGCGTGTGTGCTCGCGCGCGCTTATGTCTAACGATTTTCATTTCGAATTGAAAAAGAAATGAAAAACAACGGGAAAGCAAAAATGTAAAAGCGACAACATTCACGAAAACAAAGGTGTCAAATGTGCATATACTATTTTCGAAAAGAGGAAAAAAACACACCGTTACAAACGAACGGATTGTGTTTGGTTTTTGTGATTCAATTTTAGATCGCTTGTGCTCACCAGGTGGCTAATGCCGAATGGGCTAATTCGACTGGGATTCTTTTTCTCGTTTTGTTGTTGTTTAGTGTCGTTTGCTGTCTCGTTCTTCTGCTGCTGTCGCCGCAGCTGTCATTGTCGACGTTTTGTTTACTAATAACACAACATGATGCCAGGTTTTGGCCCCGCCGGAAACAGATTCCGCACTGTCAGTCTGCAAATCGAGTACAGGTCAGGGACCAACAGAAAAGCAAACGAAAAACACAGCGAGAATCAAAGACACAGAGTTGATTGAGAGATTTTGTGAGAAATGAGTTGGGGGGTCTAGTCGGGAAGGTTGTTTGTGGCGACAAAAAAAAAATGCAATAAAACCCATCTGGAATAATAAACAGCCAGCCAATTTACGTTTATTTATTTATTTATTTTTGTTTTGGTTTAATAGAGAACTACTTTATAGCGCCTAGTAAAGTACGCTTTGTCATATTTCAAATGAATGGTGATGCTAATTTTGTTTATTTACTAATAGAATATATTATTGTAATTATTTGTATTTTTTCTTGTTGTCCTCTAAATATTTTAATTTAAAATCCATTTCGGTCAACGTTTTTTTTTAAATACTGCACTGTGTGTGTATGTGTGAGTGAGTTTGTGTGTGTGTGTTGTTTAAACATTCAAATGTGACTATTTTTCCCTTTTTTGCTGGTATTTCTTTTACTCATTTTTATCGTTTATTAAACTTCATCGCGGTGTTTTTTTAGTTTAGTTTTACTCTGTGGTGGTGACTTTTCTACCATATTTTGTCCAGTGTCTCTTCAGTATGGGGGTATCATTTTCAATTTTTTTTTCTCTCTTCGTCGTTTTTTTATTTCATTTTGTTGAAGCTATTAAAATACGTTTTACATATTTAATTTTTTTGTCCTTGTTTTGGTTTTTCTTTTGTTTACTGTGTAACTTCTTTTTCAATTTAAATAGCTTAAACTTTAAAGAGGCAATCGTATTTTGTAACATTTTTTTTCTCTTATGATTTACAGTTTACAGAACAATTTATTGTTTTACTTCATTCCTTGTTTTTTTTTTGTTGCTTTGTTTCTATAAATGTAATTCATTTTATTATTATTTTTTTATATTTTTTGAAAATTAAAAAAAGTGTGTATTTCTATTCTTTCTCATTTTTTTTTTTTGGTAATTTTTTTGTGTTGTTCTTCTTAATTACTCTGTTGTTTTTTGTATTTTGGGGAAATAAATAATCAGGCAGTAAAGACGCTTTGCATTTTTTTAATTATTTTTTTTCTTGCTCAAATACTGATTTAGTTTTATTTTCACACACTATTCTCAATACACATACAACTGATTTATTTTTTTTGGTGTGGTAATGAACCTTTCTGTTTATTGAATAATTGTTGATTTTTGTTTTAAGACTCTTGCGAAATGTGTATCGATCAATGGAAAATACAAGTTTTAACGGTGTTTCCATTGTGTCAAAATTATTACCGTTGTGATTCTCATAGGGTTTTTTCATTCAAATTTTGCAGTGAATTAAGAACACTCACTGGAAACAGCATATGGAAAATAACTTCATTCTATATCTATATTCATATTCGAAACAGTGTCCCAAACATAACGTGGAAACATGTCATTAAAACTCGCCGCCAACGATGCACCACATTTCACAAGAGCCACTTAATGTCATTTTAATTTGTGATTTGGTTTTTTATTTGTTTAATTTAGATGTTTCATCTTTTATTAGTTTCGCAAAAGTTTGAATTTAAATTAGTTTTTTTTCTTCTGATTTTAAACTTGTTTATGTTGATTTCTGTTTTGCTCATTTTGGGTTCTGTGTTTGATTTTATGATTTTGTGGTTGTTTTTTTTTCTCTCTTTTGAATTGTCACAATTTTTAATGCGCTTAAATTTTACTGAAGACATGAAACAGATGAACGATCACCTAAATTAGGCATATTTGTTCATAAACACAAACATTAACCTCGAGCGGCGGCGCGGACGACTCGATCTCATTTCACTTTTTTCATCTAATTCAATTGATCTTATTCGAATTTTTTCTAATGCCAATATTGTCTTTCTATTGACATTATAACATGTTGATTCAGTTGTGTTGGAGGTTGTTTTGGTAATTGAAACCAAACAAAAGAAAAAAAATATTTGAATCGAGAAAAAACGGAGAACAATGAAACGCAATAGTTTGAAACGAATGTTCTCATAAACGAATGAAATGAAGGGAACATGTATGTAATGCGATATATATTACACACACCGTCAAGCCGTCGTCTAAAATAAAAACAAGCGTACATTTAAGAAAAGCATTTGGATTTTGCGTTATTATTTTTTTTTGTATCATTTTATTTTATTATTTTTTTTGTCGTTTTTAGTAGTTCTTATTTACTTTCAGTTTGTTTAGGAAAAAAAAGTGACTCAAAATGTACTTCATTTGCAGTGAATTGTAGAAACTGGCTTAAATTACGGACGTTTTAAATATGCTCGTGGATCAAACAACATGTATTCCTTTTCACACTCAATTTATATTCATTTTTTGTTTTATTTGTTTCGTTTTTTGCTTATTAAAACTATATGCAGCTCGTTTTGGGATGAATTTTTATTTGTCGTTCTTCTTCCAATATGTATGTGTGTATTTTGAAATGTTCCACTTTTTCGAATGGAACAAATGGGATCGAATATGCTTTTCGTGTTTTGTTTTGTTGTTGTTATTGTGGGAAAAGGTGGTGGTCTGAAGAGGGAATGTCGTGAATTTGATCATAATGTTGGTTTTCTTTAGTGCACAAAGGTTTACATATCTTTTCATTCCAAGAATGGGTTAAAATGATTAAATCGTTTTCGCCGGCTCCTTTGTTGTTCTTTGAGGGAGGGCAGACAGAAAAAAAAAGTGATTGGATTTATTGTGATTTTTTGTTTTCATTCTGTTTGAACGCATATTTAATATATGGCAAAATGTTTGTTTGTTTCTTGTTTTTTGTTTTTTTTTTTTTAATATTAAATTTATTCATTTTCTTCATCAATTAATTAATAAATTCGTGTTCGTCCATTCTAGTTGCCGAAAATTGTTACCTTTCACAAAGATTGAGCGGTATGCAACACGCACTAAAATCGAACCACACAGCGAGAGAGAGATTCAAGTCTGTTTCTCTCACTTACTCTCTCTATTAATTGTCGTATTTGCCATTTTTTCCAAATCCAATGGATGCGAACGATGGAAAGTGGTTCGTCTGTTGTTTTATTTATTCGTCGATTTATTTGGACATTTTCCATAAATATATTGAAAAGCCAAATTTGAATACATGAACACATATGCAGAATTGAACACAACTGCGGAGATGATTGAAATTGGTGTTGGGCTGCCGAATTAGAATTGAGAATTGGTTCGAACTTCAAAACAAAATTCAAAAGATCAAATCTCGACTTCAATATATATTTATATATATAGACTATAGAACATAGAGCGAGAGAGTAAAGAGCAACAAATGAAGCCGAGAGTCTCGAAATGTATTTGTAAGTACCAAACTATGGAATGGAACGAATTAGTGCTTGAATTGTTGCAGTTTGGTCGATAAAAGCGGGATCGCATTGTGGGAGCTAACATTTTTCAAAGCTAGAAGAATGAATACACTTTTGGTTAAAATTACATTAGTTTTTTTGTTCTTGTTGTCGTTTAAATCTATCTTTTTCGTCATTTGTTTTATATCATCATTGTTTTTTTTTTCTTTGTTTAGTTTGTCACCTCTTTAATCTTAATCATTTGAATTGATTTATTAAATAGTCAACGAATTATCATAAATTTTTATTTGACTTTTTTTTGTTTTCTCTAGAATTTGTTCCAAATTTACAACATAATACAACGGGAATACTTTGGAGAATACAAACAGACATAAATTTTTTATGTTGGTATTTCAACGATATTTTTTTTGTTACTTTCTTTAAATCTTATTTAATTTCACTGATTTGTTTATGTGTGTGTTCTCAATGTGGAGATGAGAATGGGCTCATTTTCTTTTGTTTACGTTATTTACTTTCGTTTAGACATAAATGACATCGATGTTTTGTGTCGTCTGACCTGTTCAATTAGCGGGTAAATTTTGCATCGAAAATGTTACATCCTGGTTTATTTTCATTTTGCTGTTGTTCTTGTTCTTTAGATATATATATTTTATAAATTAATTTGAGAATCTATAAATTAAAGCAATGAGACAAACAACCTCATTATATTTCATGTTTGTTTTGTTTTTACCTCTTAAATGGTGAAGAACAGTTACATGTGTTTGTGTTTTTTAAAAAACAAATATAAAATCCGAAAATAAGTGAAAATACAAACGCATTACATATGTTTTTTTTTGCTCATTTTCTTCTTCATTTTTTTTCTTTTTAATTTTCTGTTTAATCATATAATTTTCCTTATAGTGTCAGTTTTTTTAATTTTATTTATTTTGTTTTGTTTATCCAGTTAATGCCTATCTTGAAATGGTTGTCGTGGGAGATTCTTTGTGTTTGTTTGTTTTTTTGTCGGTGTACTCAGATAATTGTTGTTTTGTTGTTGCTGCTGTTATTTCCCATTTTGTTTCCTGCACACTCTCGAACATGAATTTTCGTTAAACACTATGTTTTTATAGTATCCATATTTTGTTTGTTTTGTTCTATGAAAATGAAAATGATCATCTCCTGTCACAATTTGCTTGATACTAATGCTTGCCTGCGAACACATTTTATCTGAATTCATCTTGTATTATGTAATAATTCATTCATTTTATTCTTAATTTTTTTTTGCATTTTTTTTTGTCTCGATTTAGTTGTTGTGTTTGTGTGTGTTTCCTTTTTTTTACTTAATTCAAAAAAGTATTTAATAGTATGTTTCTTGTTCTAACCAACCGCCTGGCTTGCGACGAATGTAAAAACGACGAATTTCGTCATAAATGAAAATGGATAACATGAATGGAATAGCCGGTAGCCACCAGACAAATCTATGTAAGGAAAGAGAGAGAGAGAGAACATAGAATAAATCGATCAGTTTCAATTAAATTTGGTTTGAAAAGCTGAAAAATGTCTATCATCAAAATGATTTGAAGCTAAAGAAAAACTATTCTTGGCCGACACTCACTTGAGCGGGTACATTCGAAGACCTTTGTCCATACCCGGACAATATGACAGGAATGCAGCCAATGCTGTTTCGAACACTAATCCAAAGTTCAATGCCCAGTTTCGCATTCCTTGATGAACGATCGAGTTTCGTCGTGTTTTGCAAATGATCAAATCGGCCCATTGTACGACCACAATCGATACGAAGAAGGCGGTATGGCATGTGAACTCAAGTGTCTTTCGGTCTCGGTATGTCTAAAAGAAATAAAATGTTTTGGTAAACACATACAAATTTAATAAGATATGTTATTCTTAAATTTCAATTTATTAAGCACATTTCCACATTTATACGATGAAAATATCAACTATTTAGCTAAATGCCGACTGCTTATTCGACTCATGTGTCAAATGCTCTATCGAATTCGCCATTTTATGATTCAATGCAAATCTCCGAACTTTTTTTTTTTTTAATGTTAAATAGAAAATTACCCATTCTTGGCCATATGAATCAGCCAAATCGTTGACAGCCTTTGAGTCCCAGGATTCTCGAATGCCGAAAAGTTTTCCGGGCAAAAATCCATTTTCAGCCATGATTACGAAGTAGACGAAGAATCCGGCAGCTGCTTGAATCATACCAATTTGACCGTAAGCCATCGAAATCAATCTGTTGAACAACAATGGCACAATCGAAACGAAAAAGAAAAAAAAATATAAAGGAAAAACAAAAATTCATTAGTCTCTGTAAATTCTTCATTTTATCAAATGCTACTCGAAATAAATTCTAAAAATTGTTTTTTTTTTTTTTGTTAAAAAAATAAAATTTCAAATAAAAGGAGATAATTATTGTTTTAGTTTAGATTTATATATATATTACATTAGTTTTGTCAAAACATGCATTAAAAATTGTGGTTATTATTATTATTGTGGCTGTATACAAGATTATTTGCCAGCTAAATAAATGCAGCAGTGTAAGTGGGTGTCATGCAGTTTTATTGGTAAAGCGCAAGCACTAAATGCACACAATTGTAAATACCATTTGCTTGAAAGCTTTTGTTAAATATATACTCACATAATGTTTATTATTAAAAATAATAAGAAATTAAACACATCAGAACAATAAGAATGTCGTGACGAGAAAACAGTTAATGCGGCAATAGCCGATATCAAAGAGAGAAATAGATTCAAATGATGTATCGTCATATCGTCCGTGTTTGTTGCTTCATTTTCTTTATTCGATACAAAAATAAGTGTTTTGTGTAAAATGTTTGTTATTTATCAAACAGTTTATAGCGTTAACGTCAATGGTCAAACGACCAGTGTCAATGGATTGAATGAAATAATAAGAACTCAAATAAATGTCAAGTCTTTTACATCTCCATAAGCAAACACTTGACAAATCGTGCAAAAACAGTATTAAAAAAAATCACACTTTATTCGATTTTATCGACATTCGATCGGTTTTCTCGTTCACATTCACGCTTGCTAACACCTCGCATAACTGTAAAACATGTAACTACAATGTTGAAACGAATTCACATTGATTGGATACACACATACAACATCGATAATAGCTAAACATCTACAATTTTCCAACCATTTTACTTCAACATTTAGAACAACATGCGAATATCTAAGATAACCTCTATCCAAGCAATACAATTTATTCACTTTATTTTATGGGAACAAAGAGGGGAGTGAAAAAGCAATTCTTTCAATATTTTCATACTCCATTAAATTGCACATGGATATGTTGAGGGTTTGCTACCACATTCTATCTACGATAATCTATGCAATACGATACGTTTTTATCATGTCTTTTTTTAGGGGTTTTCAATGTTGATAAAACGATCCAACGACTCAACTAATTCTCTAAAAAAAACTAAAATCAAGGCTAAAAAAATTGGGTTTGTGATTGAGGGGATATTATTTTTTTAGAGTTTTAACAGATTAACATCTAGATATGCTTGCACATAAATAAAGTACAAAACATAGAGAAGGTCTAAACGAAAATAAAAAATAAGAATAAAACCCAGACTTTTAAAAATGAAAATATATAGAGAATCTTATATAAAAGATGGACTAGCAGAAATAGATTCTATACAATAGGCATATAGGCTCTATATTTGTGAATCAAAAAGTTAGTGGTTGTAACTGTCTATTTATTATCAAAAACAAATGAGCACTCGAACATAGTCGAGCCAAGAGATAAAGCTTTGGAAAAATATAGAAGTTTGAAAAGAAAATTGATGGTGGAAAAACACATTTACATATAATATCAGTTGGTGGAGAAAGACAGAGAGAAAGAAAAATAATTTTATTTTTATTTTTTGCTACGGATAAGAGAAACATAGGGCAAAGTATTGAATTTTTGTTTGTCTGATTAGTTGGGCCAGTATGATTTTGAGTGCTACTGAGTAATTTTCTTTTCATTTTTTTTTTGCTGGTTGAATTTATCGGTGTACAATTTTTTTGTTTTTGGGTAAATTGTTGCTTTCATTCACCTACATGTGATATGGTCTGGTGTTTGGCAAACAATAGATAATATCTTGATATTTTTACGGAAAGTACGGGAAAAATCTATTTGATGGCTTTGGTTTGCAATAAAAATACAAAAATTTTATAGAAAATGTCGGAGTGGGGGAAAGGGCAGTATTACGTAAATTGCTGCGTTTGCCGATAATTTGTGGATTTATAAGCAGTTTTTTTTTTGTTTGTTTGATTCAATTTTTTGTTTTCGAAAATATAAAACGAAATAGAAGCTAAGAGAAGAATGCATTTTACTTTACTGTTTCTTGTAATATATTTTGTTCATTTTTGTTTTGTTTAAATTACTTGCGACAACTTTTTTTTTAGTATATTTGTTGCAATAGATATATAAATATATATATTATATAACATTGGTTAATATTTGTTTTGGAAACGGCACATGTATATATATATATGTGAAGTATATGTATTTCTGCTAGTCCGCCCATTTTCATGAAAACTGAATAAGTCAAAATACAACCAAAATCTTAAATAAAGAAGAACGAACAAACCCAAACCGAAAAACTTTGAATAAATAAAATAAAATCAATAATCAGTTTTTTTTTCTTGTTTTGAATTTGCCAATTTGGAAAATAACTTGTCGATCTGATTTAAGAAAAGAGTAGTAGTATATCTTCATATTTCGAATGCAATCATTTTGATGTGTTTGTTTTGCAGTGTGGTTGAATTTTTGGGAGGAATTTCAATTGAAATTGCTGACTACTTCAGCCAGAATGAATTTCTTTCTTGTTGATCATAAGGCACATTCAATGCGTGCACGTAAATTAACTTTGATTCTACACTGTAGCAGATTGGAAACACTTTTATCACAAAAAACGAATTTTCGAGAATTTTAAGCTGGTAGAGCTATGAATGTTTGAAAAATATAAAAGAATTGGGCTCTTTGGAACATACTTAGTTCCATTGATATTGATCAAAGAGGACATTTTGAATAAATCAGAAAGAAATTATTTATAAATTTTGAATAAAAACATACACAAATATGTTGAAAGAACAAACCACTGTACAATAATATGATTTTGTTTTGACATTCGATGTGCTTCAATATATCCAATAAAATGTCTCAAAAGATGATTGCAAACAGAAATGTGACAATAATATTCGTTTAAAACTGCTGATCAAAGTGAAACAGATCTAAACGGAAATGGAATACACATCTTTTTTCATATACACAAATAAACAAAGGAAACATACAATTTTTTTTTGATTTTGTGTCGAATTTGTTTTTAAACCAAAAACCAAAACGGAATTGAACTTGAATATAATTTGAAAATGGTATAAATTTTTTTTTGATAAAACTCAGAATCAGGCCGAATTGTTTGTGGATTGGGGTGGAAAATCAATAAAATCAAACGAATTTTAACGTAAATCATATCGAAATCAGGACAATCATTTAGGACTATTGGGTGATTTTTAATAAATAAGTATTCAACCATAGAAAATGATTTCGTATAGATTTCTTTTGTGAGTGCGGAATGCACTCAATTTTGTCCATTTTTGTTTTCTCTTTAGATGAGCATGATATTATTTAAGAAAAAATTGAGATTTAGAATACATTTTCTATAGTTTTTTTTATATTGAATTTCTTAATTGTATATTGATGTTCATATTATAACAACTACCATCAGGCCACTTAATTTTTTTTTTTTTTGGTTTGTTTGTTTCATTCTTCTGACCTGCGATTGACCAAGTTGTCGCGGTATGGATCTCTGGGTTGCCGTTTCATAATGTCACTCTCGGGAGCCTCGTAGGCTAGCGAAATTGCCGGCACCTTGATAGTCAAAGTGATTTTGGTTTATTTTTACAGATTTTTTTTTGTGTTTTTGACAAAAAATTTGTTTGTTTGGAATTCTGTATTTTGTTTTTGTCATTTAGTAAATTTTATAATTATAAAGTACAATCATCATTGATTAAACAATATAAAATATTAAAAGCTTATTAAAATTGGAAATTTGTTTGAGCCTTTGTTTCTCTAGATTGTTATCTTCGTTTCCAATCGAACGAAGAGTAGGATTTTCACAAAATTTCCGTTTTGTTTTTTTTTTGTTTTTTTTTATTCATTCATATTTTATTATCTGCTCAGTTTGCATTCCAAGCTAAATGCGATTTTCTATAAGTTTTTGAAATCGCACATCGATCGTTCTGTATCGGGCGATTTATCAATTTATTCAAAGTGTTTGGTTTGATTTCCTTTTCAATATATTTTCGACTCCTAGCTCTTGTTGTAAAACACAAATTCAATACCGTTCCGTATATGTGTTTTTTTTTATTACATGAAACAATAATTAAAAGCGCCCACCCAAATTTATACAATTAGGAGGCATTTACTAATTTGCTATATCAGTTAGCCTACCTGAAAAAATATAGTTTACAAAACAAATTCTAGCATCAAATTTATACGATTATCAAACTGTATATTAAGTATTAAGCTGAGTATGCAAGAAGTAAATAAAAGCAAATAGCGCAGTTGATCATATTCGCTATAAATCGATTCGTATTGCCAACGTATTCACACGCATATATAGATATCCTATGCGAGTCGTGTGCCATGTTTTTCATTTTCTTTTTTGAACAATATCGGCAGTTTTTGCATTTGATTTGAGAATTTTCTTTTTCACGTGTAAAAATTATGTGTCGTGTGTTTAATATTGAGTAGTGTATGTTTGCTTTTTGTGTATTTTATAACGAAAAAATTTGTTTGAAAAGAAAAAGAAAAATTATGGTATGGAAAGATAAAATTTAAAAGATAAAAATAAAACAAGATGTCTCAAAATAAAAGGCAATCAAAATATTTCGAAAATAAATTTTTTGTACACTTTGGACATAATTCAAAATGAAGTCGAACAAACAAATCGAAAAAGTTCAAATTGAAAAGCGTATGGAAAATGAATGAATGGTGATGATGGTTGATGGATGAAATTTGTTATGAAATAAAATGTAGTTTTGATGATGTCAATTTGTTTTCATTTGTTTTTGCTTCAATTTTTTGTTTTTCAATTTCGAGATTGATTCGACTAAAAATAATAATAATAGAAAATCAAAGATGAATAACCCAGACACAAAATTGTTTGTTGTTGAGCACTAGAGCCAGCGCTGTCTATTTACCCATGCTTCAATTAAGATAAACGAAAAAACAAAATGAAAATTTTAATTTATGCTAACATATAACACATATACAAAACATATTTCAATGACTTCAATATCAAAATGGAAATCGATAAATTTGCTTGATTTGGTAAACATTTTTGGGATAAATAAATAGTACGCAGAATTACTAATTGCTGGTGTAGTCATCTCACTTTCAACTAATTGTTTCCGAAAACAACAAAAAAACGAAGTGTAGTGGATTTTTCACGCAAAAGTTATTCATGTTTGATTTGATAAAAAACCAAAACGAGAGCATACTTATCAAGAAAATAAAAACAATATAGTTATGAACACGAAATCTATGTGATATTCACTCCATTCCATGTATTATCTTTTATATTGACGTTTATGTTGCCACTAAGTGATATGTTACTAAAATGTTGTCTGCCATTTTGTTTGACAGAAGAAAACTTTTGGGGTTGCAAACAGTTATACACGAGGAAATACATTGTTGAAATTATTTGGTAAAGTAAGAAAGCTGGCACACACCGAAATAAACAGGGAAAAATGCTGTTATATGTTGATTTGACGAGAAAAAAAACTCACGCACAGGTTTTTTTCTATCTAAAAAAAAAGAAAACACGTTCGAACTGAAAAGTCAGTTTTTGGAAAATTACATTTTTTAGCGTGGAGACGAAAAATATGTTTCACTCGTGTGCTTTTAATATGTACAACTTATTTTTTCTTACGAAGGGGTATTATAATCCAATCGAGTGAATGGAGTAATGTGCGCTCAAACATATTTTACTTTTAAGATAAAAAGCTAAAAGGTGTAGGTAGAAAACCAAGTAAACAGAGAATTTGTATTGTTTTCGACACTCGACTAGCTTAATGTTTTGAGAACTACTTGAATATAAAACTTAATGGTAAACAACGTTTACTAATAAAAAAAACCAATGGAATGTTGACTAGCATTACTGGATTTGATTGGCAACGAAATGACATTATGTTATAAAAAAGAGATGGAATGGCCTTGCATTGGATTCAAAATGCATCAAAACCGTTACATTTCAAAAATACAAGAAAAAATAATATGATTTAAAATAAGAGTCGTGGCATTTGTCTCAAGACTATTTTCAAACTGAATAGAGAAAAAAATTAAGCAAATCCTGAAAACTAAAACAATTTTAATGAAAGCAAAAGTGAAGTGAATCGTCGAAACAGTATTTTTAATCAAAAAGAATAATCAGAAGAAGATGATGACGAAGAAGACGAACCGAAAAGAAACAAGAAATCGTATTGGCGAATTTATCTGGCTAGTTAAAAGATTCATTCAAAATAAAACCAAACGAAAGAAAAAAATTGCACGAGATGGAAGGAATATAGATAATATGTTTTTAACATTGATCGAACAGTATAAGCAAATGGGTAATATATAATATGTTCATTACGTATTAATGGAAGAAGTAAACAACAGACACACACATACACACACAATTATAAAATTAGTATTTTTTTTTAAAAAAAGAAGAAAAATAAAGTAGAGATTGATTTGGTGTGGACTTATTTGATATTTGAATATTTCGTAAATGAGATCAAATATGATAACGTTGAAGAATTACGAAAAAAGGTAAAATAAAATCAAATGCGGAATAGAAAGAATATATAAGACGAAAAAAAAATACAATGAAAGTTCATCAAATTAACCGATTGACGGTTGTTATCATAATGAATAGAATAAAATTAAAAAGTGAAACTATAACAATAGTATGTTGACACAAAGTAAAACTGATAAGTAAGAGATCAAATATGAAGAATAAATATTTTGTTTTATGCTTATATAGTTTGTAATAGAACTGGTTTTTTCGACAATATTTCTCCACTCGCATTGCAATTCATTTTAATATTTTTTATTTTTTTTTTATTTCATATGCAAATTGGACGCAATGAAGATACCATAATGGTTTACCTTTGATTAACCAGCTTGTCATTGATAGGATCCCGTGGTCGGCGCTTCATAATATCTGATTCAGCTGTCTCATAAGCTAACGAAATGGCTGGAACCTATTTATTGAAAATGCATAGTACATATGACTGCATTTTAGTAACCTTCGTTTTGTTTTTGTTTTTGGTTATTGTTGGCTGTGTAGGAAAAACGCTGTTACGTTTTTTTTTGTTTTCATTTATCAAAATTCTGTTTCTGAATGGCCTAACCCATTTTTTATTTGAGAAGTAACCATTTTTTCCCATTATTTTTGCGTGTTTTCTTTCATTGTTTTGTTACATCAAATGTGCGATCAAGAAAACCTTGATTGAAGTTGGAAAAAACCATTCATTTTCAGTTTATATCGATGAAATCAACGAAATAATAACCAAAAAATTGACATTTATAAACTTGTTTGAAACTTAAGATGCATTCGTCTTCACTTTGGAATTTATGCATTCTTGAAATATCATAAAAAATACTTTGTGTACTACTTTTTAAGCGAGTGTGTGTGTGTGATGAGAAGAGCGAGAACGGAGTCATCAAGTTTGAATATAAAAGATATATTGGTTCGATGAGTGACTTCGTAATCAAAAACTTTCTCAAAATGAATTATCCCATTCGCAATTTATCGGAAGTGTATAAAAACGGCACATTTTCCTTTCCAAAAAATGTGGTCATCCGATGCATCGAATCGATTAATACCAGGGGAAAATGAGCTAAGAAAATGGAATAAAAAAATTAGCTCATGATGCGAAAAGTTGTCAGTTTGCGAAATGGATTTTCATTCACTCTTTCGCTCAACAAAAACATATATACGAATATACAATGCGAATTTTGCCTAATCGGATACATAAAAAGTAGAACACGGAGTTTTTATGAATCTCACAATACAATAGCAGTGTTCAATTTTGCACAAAACGTTCAAAACTGGAAACTGACACAAACATGTTTGCATCGCGCATTAAAAGAAAAAAACCAAATTATATATTTATGAATAGAAAACGATAAGGAAACCACTAAAAATCAACAACTCAAGAAACAAACAAAATGCTAAAAAAAGTGTCCCTGCACATGACATATGATGAATATATTTGATTGTTTGATGTTTTTATTGGATGAATGAACAATGATGAATGGATATGTAATGAAATGTTTGATTACAGAATAAACCGAAATTTAAATTTTTCGATAAATAAACTGATTCGTTTTTTTCGGACTCATTATTGTTGTGTGTCCTGAACATAGTATGAATTTGAATGAAAATTTGATTTAAAAAAAAAAAAGAAAACTATGCGACACATCCACAAACGAAAATAATAAAAACGAAAATACAATGAATAAAATGTGAGGGGGTTGAAACTGAAGAGAATTTATGTAACAAAAATTAAATCAGTCTGAATGTATTGAATGCCTATTCGGATCGAAATAGCGAAAAATCAATTCAGATGTCTAATTACCTATCACATATGTTTTCAAAATTATCTAAACCCTAAATGTATTTTTCTGGTTCAAATTCCCTGAGATGTAATTCCAACAAATAAATGTTTGAATTGCTGTTACAATAAACACTGGAACATTTACAATACCATTCAATTCACTATTGCCGTCATTTCGACAATTTCTTTTGCATACATTAACTTAGTATATGTTTTTTTTTGTTCTAAACTAACAAAAATATAACATTCGTATTTTGTGGTCAAACATTGAATAAATGTTTATTTTGCACACGATTGTTCATTTTGAAAATCAATCAAGTGCTTGTGTCTATTTCATCTATATGTGTATATTGTGTGTGTGTGTTTGCGCGCTGAACACATTTTGGCACACTAAATAAAGTTATATAACAACATCATAATGTCGATGTCGTGACGGGTACATACACACATACACATTTTTATGACACAAAGCACAGTCATTTGTTGACAAAAGATAAAAACAGTGATAGTAAAATCACAAAATTATAGTTATCATTGGTTTTTTTTTCGTGCAACGAAAAATTGAGTATCTCTCGCATATATAAAATATATATATTTTATGGTCATTTGGGTGTTTTTTGTATGGTTATTATTGTTTTTATGTGTAAGTAAGTAAGTAAAAAATGGTCGGTTAAATGTTTTGTTTTTTAATAAATGTTACACATGAAATTAAATTACGAATAATATGTATTAGTAACAGTAGAAAAAAAAAATTGATAAAAAATTATCGAGCATAACAACAACAAGTGACACAGATTTCTAAAAAAACAATCTTGAATACTTCTCTCGAAATTGTGCATTTTTTGTGTATATTTTCTTCAAATATGCTCTTCATTTTTTTACCAACAATTTTATTTAATCCAATGGCAATTTCTTATTATTGTTCAAATGATTAATTTACAGCCCTTTTGAGGATAAACAAAATAACCAAACCGTTTTATTTATTAAAATGTGTGACTAAAATAATAACGACAAATGCAATTAACAAACCCATTAACGTTTTAGTGTGTGTATTTTTTTTATGTTTGATTGCAGAAAACCAAGAGTGTGTGAACACCAAACCAATTTTTTCAAGTATCAACTAAATAAATATGTTGGATTTTAATTGTGTGTTATTCGTAAGTCGGGAATGAATAACGAACAAAAAATATTTATAAAAAAAAAACAAATAATAAGAGAGAAATAAAAGTATAAGTGGCACCTGGAATTGACTAATTTATCGCTGTATGGATTTCGTGGTTGACGTTTCATAATATCTGATTCAGCTTGTTCATAAGCCAAGGATATAGCCGGTACCTAAGTAATTGTGTTTGATTGAGGTGGTTTTTTTTTTGGTTTGAAAAATAAAAATAAAGTTTTAAAAAAAAGAGTGAAACCAATCTAAAAACAAAGTCCTTAAAAAATATTGTACAACAAAAAGTTGGTAAATCTTATTATATATTTCTGGCATAATTTCATCTAACGCTTTTTTTCGTGTTTTATTTTTTTGCCTTCGCCGAAAAAACATGTTTTCGTTGATTATACTTCATTACATGTGTAATGCATGTATTCAATTGTTATTTATTATTTTTGTTGTTATTGATGTGAGTGATGTTTCATATATATAAAATAGATTAAAAAATATCGGTCGGAAGATAGAATTTGGTTTTGTCTACAAAATGTCAATTGATAGAATTCAATAGAAACTTCGAAATGACTTTTCGAGCAAGTTAAAAGAATAGAGTTTGGGTATATTTTTGTTGTGTGAATTGGAATATACGAAGAATATTCTTATTGAGAGTGCGATACAAAGTTGTCTATGTAAAAACTTTACGGATGGATGCCATTATTACATTGTACAAGATATTTTTTAACTATATTATCATAGGACAAACAAATTTTGTTTAACTTCTTCTTCTTCTTATTCTTCATATTCAAAATGAATAAACAGAAACAATTTAAGAGCGAGAAGAAATAGAAAAAGTCATTGCATTACAATTTTTTTTTTTTGAAATAAAATAGAGATATTATATATAGAGAGAAAGAGAGCTCTAGCAAAGGAAATTATGTATACGGTTTGTATTTAATTTCGAAAGGAAATCGTCATATCAAATTCGATATAAATCTAAAATATCATAAAAGAAATTAGAATTTCTATGCACGCATAAGCATCTCAATATACTGGAGAAAGGAAAATAATATGAATAGAAATTAAACTGATAAAACATTTGGTTTCTCAAATAATACAAGGTACAAAATGTTTCGCAGTGGAACATGTTGGGCAATTTTTCGTTAGTGTTTCTTTCTTTCTTTTTGGTTTGGTTTTTTCACCACTTTTTGGAAATCGAATTTGCCGAATCATGAATAAAGGTCCGTGTCATTTTTCTTGATCTTGATTTGTACGTGCATGTTCCATCTTGAAACCGAGCTCTATATAGTTCATAGGTTTTTTATTTTGTTAAAAAAATATTTCGGGTACTTTTTTGGCAAAAAAAAATGTTCGCAAACGCTTTTAAATGTGCGTTTTACCTCGAGTTGACGAGGTTATCTGAGTATGGATTTCTAGGACGTCTTTTCATTATATCGGATTCTGATCCTTCGTATGCAAGTGAAATGGCTGGTACCTAAATAAATCCGGCCAGGAACGTGAGTGTGAGTGTTTGTTTTATTTTGAATAGAATATTTATGTGAAATAAAGTTCTTTTCTTTGTATAAGTGTATAATGTTTTAAAATGTTCAAGCTAAATTTGAAACTGAATTATTATATAAAATATGCTACTTTGGGTAAAATCTTGATTGTTTTGTTTTTGGTCTGATCTAATTAAGCCTAATATAATACTGTATTTATACCCTGTATATAATTTTTGGACGGATTGGAATGTCAATTGTTATTCTTTTGTTGTACACTTACAATTATCAGTCGAATTTAGATCTAAAGCTTAATTTTTCTCATAATTTTTTTTTCTTTGCAACTTTGAATAAATTCTGCAGTAGATTTCTTTTCATAATACGATAAATGCTTGTTTTTTTTGGTTAGCATTGTTTGTGTTTGTTTTTGGTTTGTTCTCACAATGAAACAGGATTTAAAATTGATAAAATAGAAAAAATGCATGATTCACTTACCATATCAGTTCCTAAATCAATACACAAAATTGTAACCGTACCCAATGGCAATGGAATATCAAGTAAAATGAATGCCAAGAATGGTGAGATTTCCGGAATGTTTGATGTCAGAGTGTAGGCAATTGATTTTTTCAAATTGTCGAAAATCAAACGACCTTCTTCAACACCAGTAACGATTGATGCGAAATTATCATCCAACAAGATCATGTCAGCAGCCTAAAAGATTTTACAATAAAAAAACATCGAGTTAGATAGCTGTATAAATGTGTATGTTCTGAGCGATGAATTATGTATAATTAAAATTGTCGGTAGTTACTTGTTTTGATACATCTGAACCAGCAATACCCATAGCAACACCAATATCGGCCTTTTTCAAAGCAGGTGAATCGTTGACACCGTCACCAGTTACAGCGACAATGGCGCCCATTCGTTGACAACCTTCGACAATGATCAATTTCTGTTGTGGCGATGTACGAGCGAATACAATTTCAGTGTGATAACGAAGAATTTCATCAAGTTGTTCGGTTGAAACGTCACGCAATTCAGCACCATGAACGACGGCCGCTTTGGCTTCACGTGGATTAACTTCTGATACAGGGATGTTTAGACGTTGTGCAATATCTTCAACGGTTTCGTTGCCTTCCGAAATGATGCCGACCGATTTGGCAATGGCTTTAGCTGTAATTGGATGATCACCAGTAACCATAATGACTTTAATACCGGCCGAACGACATTTGGCGACAGCATCTGGTACAGCGGCACGCGGTGGATCAATCATTGACATTAAACCAACAAAACGTAAATTATCGAGTGGGAAATTTGGTTCGTCCGTATTGAATTTAAAGCCATTTGGATATTTATCGGATGGAAGTAATGTATCGCAAAATCCAAGTACACGTTCGCCAAGACCACCCAATTCCAAATATGCATTGTTGAATGCTTCTTTCATTTCTTCGTCTAATACTTTTTCTTTGCCATTGATGAAAATGCTGCCGCATCGTTCCAAAATTCGTTCGGGTGCTCCCTTCATTACAAGCAAATAGCGTGGATCGCCCGCTTCTTCAGTTTCATGGATTGATACTTGATATTTGTTCGTTGAATTGAATGGAATTTCGGCAATTTTCTTATTCTTTTTACGAATGGACATGACATCGCCCAAAGCAAGTTCCATACATTTAAGTAAAGCTGCTTCTGATGCATCACCGCTAACTTCTTTCTTCAATATTGGTACACCCTCTTGGCCACCTTTGAATTCGGCACGATTACACAATGTTGCGATGCGTGACAATGCTTTGAATCCAGGACTTGTGCGATCATATTGAACACCTGATTGATCTTCAGTGGTATCGGCTTCAATGATTTGATTATCGAACCACATATGCGCAACGGTCATACGATTTTGTGTTAATGTACCGGTTTTATCTGAGCAAATGGTTGATGTTGAGCCCAATGTTTCCACAGCTTCTAAATTCTTAACCAAACAATTCTTTGATGCCATACGTTTGGCTGTCAATGTCAAGCACACCGTTACGGTGGCCAATAGACCTTCGGGCACGTTTGCAACAATGATACCAATCAAGAAAATGACAGCATCTAACCAATGATAACCTAAGATGAATGCAATGACGAAGAATGTAACACCCAAGAAGACAGCTACACCGGTAATCAAATGAATGAAATGATGGATTTCTTTAGCAATTGGCGTTTCGCCTGTGTCCAAACCGGATGCCAAACCAGCAATACGACCCATTACAGTGTGATCACCGCAACTGATTACAACACCTTTGGCAGTACCTTCAACCGCATTTGTTGAAAAGAATGCAAGATTTTTCGTTTCCAATGGATTGTCGTGAGTGAATTCAGAGCTACGTGACTGTGGCTCCGATTCGCCAGTCAGTGATGAATTGTCAACCTGAATTTAATTGTACGACAAAAACAAATTCATTAATATCATTACAAATGTCATAAAATGTCATGACACATTCAGTCATTCATTTATTGTCGTCACTTTCACTCACCTTAAAGTTTCTGGCTTCAATAATTCGAATATCGGCCGGTATTCTGTCACCGAATTTCACTTCAACAACATCACCCAATACCAAATCTTCAGCACGCAATGTAAGCTTTTCACCTTCACGAATGACTGTTGCGAATTGCGGTACCATGTTTTTAAACGATTCCATAATCTTTGAACTTTTTGATTCCTATAAATTAAAGACGTTGAAATGGTATCAGTAACATCAATTATTTAACATCACTCTCACAATCATTTACCTGATAGTATGAGAAAATACCGGTGACTATGACAACAGCTGCAAGTACAATACCCAAATATAAATTATCGTCGGATGGTTCTTCGCTTGTACTGGCTTGAATAGAATAGGCAACGAAACATAAAACGGCACCAATCCATAGCAACAATGCAAAACCGCCAAACAGATTTTTGCAAAATTTAACCCATTCGGGTGTTTGTTTCGGTGGTGTTAACGCATTCGGTCCATCGCGTTCCAAATTTTCCTTAGCCTTTGCATGACTTAGACCCTATCAATACACAAATTCATTTCAGTTTTATTTTCAATGCATAACATTTTCCATTGCTTTTATTTACAAATGTTTGCTTGTAACTTACATTTTCGGGATGTGTTTGAAATCGTTGATACAGTTCATCTGACGTGATCTTGTGGTAGTCGATGTCCAATTCTTGCTTAAGATCATCAAGATTCTCCTTTTTTGCTGCCTTTTGCTTAGCCATCTTACGTCTTGACTGTAGTTATACGTTTCGGATTAAAAAAAGAAGAAGAAAAATATCCGATTAGGTTGTGTATATAATGAAATTGGGAAAAATCTCAATAAAAACTGAAATTACTGTTATGTTAATTAAATAATCAATGTGATTTTGCATTTTTATATTTATCCATTGGCATCAATTAACGCAAGATTTTTATCATTACTGACTGATCTATAAATAGTTCCAATTTCGCCTTTTAAAAAATGCAAAATCACAAAATGGTTAAAGTGATACATAATCCCGCAAAACCACACACCTCATTCTCACAAAATCATACACACATATAGAAATTACATTAAATACTTACTCAGCGTCCGAAGTACTATAATTACTATTGTACAATACAATATACAATACAATACATATATAATATAAATACTATTGAAATGTGTGCTCATGAGCCTATATGCAATATGAACATTTGGATTCAGTTGTGAATAAATGAAACAACAGCCGAGAATTATGTAAATGTTTACTTATGAGATATTTCTAATTTAAAGAACTAATTCAGCCTTGGCAATCACAAAAACCATTGTAACATGCCAAATAATTTGTGGGGTCTAGTGTAAATCAAGTATTGAGAAATAAAACGAAGAAAAATGACAAAATGATGTAATAGCAAAATTTCAAGTCCTTGGGATATGCGATGAAAAATTGGTAAATCGAAGCGCAAAAAAAAATCTTCCATGTTGCTTTCACAACAATAACAACCAAGATGACTTGAATTTCAAGACTTACGAAATTGTATATCAATGTTCGAATGGAAGCATGCGAACCCCTATTTTATGGTGCGTAGATTTTGGAAAAAAGGGGTTCTCAATGTATGTACGAGAACGATTCGGTTCTATTCATCGTCAATCTCTTGACATACTGCGCAGTAAAAGTAACATGATCCAATGATGGGTTTTGTTCAAATGATTTTGTTTATACAAACGAGATTGATGTTAAGTTTGCCGCGTGCACCACATACTCCCTTTCCTTTTTTTTCTCACATATTTAATGTCTGATTTTCAACGAACAAAAAAGAAATCAGAGTTAGCGACACTGATGTCATTCGGTGTGCACGTGAAATGTGCACGCAGTTAACGGAATAAGGAAACCGAAGAATAAACGATGATTTTATTTTTGTAAACGCAAAATGGGATGAACTATATGATGTGGTGTTAAACTGAATGCAGTAATAATAATAATAATTTGAAACGGATGGAGTATTTTGCGTACATGTTTCAGGTATATTCCATTTTATTTGAAATGACGTCAATGAAATGAATGACCATGGTTTCTTAATTGAATTGAATTCCCTTTTAAACGTTCCGTTATATTAAATTCCAATCATGGCAAAAATAACCGAATACATCGAATTAATCATTAAATTGTAGATCAGACATAGTATATCATTTGGAATTTAAAGTCACTGAACACTTAATTGAAGATCCCCATTTTTTCAAGTGTTTCCTTTATCAAAAATAAGAGAGTAAGCTATTGTTTTCAATGATTCACAAAAGGTCTTAACATACATTTAAAAGCAAACATGCAAACCTATATACAGATAAGCCAAAATAAGGTTTTTGTTTTTCTAAATGGATTAGTATATAAATATCAAACAAAGTCAGTGTCAAATAAATTTGTAAGGTTGAGAGACAAAAAGTACACACATATATTCATATACGTCGGTCAATTGAAAACGTTGAACAAACAGATTAGTTACTATTTTGTTTCTTTTGTTTAATCATTTTAGTTTAAAATGTCCTTATAAAATAAATTGATTGAGAAAGCGATTGTGTGTATATATATATATATTAAAATGTTTGGTGAGTGTTAGTGAATTGGTTAGTTTTGACTAGAAAGTTAATTCCAATGAAAAATCTCTCCATAGATCCAATTGGACAGAAAAAAATTAAATTGTGGTGGATATGTTTAACACATTTTTTTTTTTGCAATACCTTGAAGAATCCATCTGCCGTTTGGTTATCGTCTGGCACTGTCGTAACAGTTGCGACTCGATAGGAGTCCGTCCTTCCGTGCTACGGGTTTTTGTTTTTATTTTTTTGTTTGTTTTTATTGTTTGTGTGTGTACATGGTATTTTTATGTGTTTGTATTTTGTTTTATATTTCGGATTGGGAAGGGAATGATTTTATTGATGACAAACAATATAATGGCATATAAATAGGCGAATAAACGAAAAATTATTATAAGTAAAGTATATTATTACATAATGATTTAAAAATTTGTAAGAAAAAAAAATCAATAGAACAAAAAACAGATTGAAAATAAAACAAAATGCATTCATTTACTATATAAAATATATATTTTTAAAAAAATTAGATGGACAAACAAAATTTTCAGTAGTTCAATAGTTCAAACATAACTCGATGTGAAAACTCAAACAATCAATTTGGAATTAAGTAAAACGAAATATGTTAATTGGCAAGCGAGATTGAAATATCAAACAAATTTCGATACAGCAAAAAGTTGCATATTTTTTTTGTTATTTCCCATTTTGTCGACGGATAGCATAATCAAATGAGAGCGAAATAATGATTCTCGTATGAAATCTATGATTTACTGTTGGAATTATGTGAAAGCGATCGATAAGAAGGGCAACGCATGGAAAGCTCTGTCATACTGAATACGAAACGTATTCATCTCAAACAGTCAGTTCGGCTCACTCAGCTCTAGGATATTTTATGTAATACAAGTGTGTATCGTGCGCATATCATATCGTTTTGAATATCACTTTTCCTCTTGACAGGAGAAGCGAAAAAAATACAACTTGTGAAAAATTAGTAGCTGAAGCGAAAATCATGTAGACATTGACACAATTTTCAAAAACACAATTTATCTGTTTTTAGTAAATTCACACTAAAAAATTTATAGATATAACAAATTACATCTCACATCATAGTTAATGGGATTTTCCTAGCTGTGAAAAAAATATGTTTTTTTCTATTGCTTTTTGTTTGAAGAAAATATGGGTAAAAACAATGTTGACGCATACAACATACATTTTCAATAAAACGCAGAGCATGCGCAGAACACATTCAGTAGTTCAGTAAGGGTTCTATTGCCGACAAAAACTTTTTGGTCCGGATATTTTTCTCATATGGGAACTCTCTTGTTTTCTCCAAAATCGAACACACAAAGAGAGTGAGGGAGAAATAAAAAATAAATGATAAATACATAGACACTGTTGTGAGAAAGGGTAGGGTATATTGGCGAGCAATGGAAAATAAAACAACAACAAAGATTGCATGCATTTTTGCAAAAAAGAAGTTATTTAAATAAAATGCGCTCATATTTGGTCATTTACTTCGTGAAATTTTTGGTGTCAGTAGATTTTTTACATAAATAACTGGATTTTATTGATTTTTCTCTCGTCGTGGGCACCCTTTTTTGACCATTAACCGAATGAGAAAAAAAAGTTTATGGAATTGAAATGAAAAAGTAAAATGTAAAAAATTTTAATAAAAAAAAGATGACATGAAATCGATGAGATTCGTTTGAAAATAATGTTTTATGTATTTTGTTCCCTTTCAAGGATTTCAAGGTGGAACATGAAACATTAACAAAGTGTATTTTGTGCTATAATGTTACATAACTGAAACAGAGAACTTGGTTTCTATTCTATTCTAACAATTTAACAAGAGCAAAAAGACAATACAACGGAACAAAAATGCTGTTTTTTATATCTTCACAAAAACGAATTCTTTTTTTTTTAAAGACAACACAAAGCCATTTCAAGCGGAAAAACGGATGCACATTTTATTCGAAATGCAATCTGTATTAAAATGAATTTAATAAAAAAACAACGAATACACTTTTTCACGAATAACTAGAGACGCATACATTGGCAATAATATAATATAAATATTAATCGAATGGTGGTAAATGGCCGTATTTGTTGTTTAGATGTGTCTAATCACCAATCAATTACATAATAAATGAAATTCTTACGTGTCGGAAATTGAATTCCACGTGTTCAAAAGTTTTTGATTGATTGTAGTTCGTTCACTGTGAACACACTGTATGACTTTTTCTTTATATTTATTCCAATGCTCAACGTATTGTTTTTCCTACACTTTGTTTTTCTTTTTCTTTCTCTCTCTCTCGCTCTTTCTATTTGTCTCACAGAAGTATCTTTGTCGATGGAGACTATCCGTTCTTTTTCTCTGTCTATAAAATGGTCTAAAATGTGGTATTTTTTTTTCATTCGATGCCATTTCGATTTGTCGATGAAAAAGCAAAGAAATCAGAGAAAATTTCTCCCATTAGATATAGTAGTAAACATAGAATGTGTCTGAAACTTTTTTTTTCGTATAAAATTTAGTAATTTTTTTTTTCATTTGCTATCCCAGTTTCTTTTCGTATTCGGATGTATAAATATGGTTTAAAAAAGCGATTTTTGTTCTGTTTTCATTTTTATACTGCAATAAATTAGCATAAAATCAGATCAATCGGAAAGAAACAACAGCTCAACGATTTGCTCTTGAAAACAGAGCGATAAAACCGTTGTGTGAGCTGAAGTTTGTTTTTTTTTTGGTTCAAACATTAAACATAAAAGAACATTGTCGATTTCGATTATACAATCGAAAAGCTCTATTGAGTATATGCCATTGTTTATACTTTCGATTGATCGAATTTTGATTGTATAACTGGAACAAATGGTGTACACACGGACAATGGACGAAAATCTGTTTTGAACAGAGTGAAGAAAAAAATATATGTGAAGTACACACACTAATATAAATACTATAAATAACTGCTTCCTGCTATAGTGTTAAAACGTTCAATGAGCCATAAACTCGCAAGGTCGTGGTGTAAATTCAATCAAATTGTCGCCAAAGCTCAACTATTTGCCAATGCTGCCGACATGAAAACGAACGAAAATGAAGTGAAAAAAAACAGATACACACACACATTAAATTAAAAGACCTAGAACAATATTCATTTTCGTTGCATTCTTGTTCCATGTGTAGAAAAGTTTTTCGATTTTTATTTCTACTTTCGTGAATTGCCTGGTGTAATTTTCACGCGAAATGAAACGTTCAGTTTGGTTCGTTGCGGCCAGATAAAAGAAGGAAAAAAGGCAATTTCGTTCAGGGAATGGAAATGAGAGAAAAAGAGAGAGAATGCACGGTTTTCCTTTGGATTTCCACAAAATATGAGAGTATGTGTGGTTGTGGCGAATGGTGTGTGCGTTTTTTTTACTTTTGACGTATAGACTCGAGTATGGCAATCGTACTCAACAACGATGGTGCAAGCGGGGCATGAACAATATGCCAGAATGCCGAAAAAATCGATACTGATTTACCTTGTAGAAAATTTTCAGGAGAAATTGTACCAAATGTACCGCTCGCTCATTTCCACTCTATCCTTCCCTCTTTTCTGTACAGTTTCTGTGTGAATGTTCATGTATATCGGCAATATTCTCTCACATTCTCAATGATATGTAGTTGGTTCTCGTCATTGTAAAACAATTCGCCGTCCATAGCAAAGATTTGTGTATATCGCTTTCGGAATTTTAACGCTTGCTATCAAAGTGGATCCGTATTCCGTACGGTCTTTTTGTGACTTGCTCAATTCACAAACGGTAAGACAATTTTCTAACATGGAACGATGACAGCGACGACGACGACGACGAAGTTGTTGATGAAGAATTTTTCAAAATTTTATAACAATTCACATTTTTTTTTCGTTGGCAAATTTTGAAACAAATGCATTTAATTTCACTTTCAATGTGCTGTAATTTGTGTGTAAGTGTTCGAAAAATGTTGTGCTCAATAATAAGCATCTTAATTTTCCACTTACCTCTTCGCTTTTTAGCATTTCGATTACAAAAGAAAAATTGTTCTATATTTGATTGCGTAACGTTTCGATTATTCAATGTGAGGGGGGTTGTAGAGAGGGATGGCGGCTTTGAACGTTTCGATGGAGTTTATTTTTTTCTCACTTTAACAACCTGTGTCTCTCTTTCGCACGCGCCACATTCGTTTGCCTCTTTTTATGGTATTGGAATTGACATTCACCGAAAATTGGTATACGTGTATGCGATGGTATATGTGTGAGCGTGCGGTATGTATGTAATACTCTATTTGGCGATGGCTGAAGATAAATTGCTCGAGCTTCCTCAATTTACTTGAAAAAGTTAACATTGATAACGAACTCCGATTATTATTAATGTCATTGTATGGTTGAATTGAAATTGCTAATGTGCAAACGCGGACTGGCTCTTACGTTCTTGTACTTTTTATTTCTTTCTCTCCCTCTCTATCTTTTTTCCTATCGTCAATGACTTATTCCTTAAATCTTTACGTAATACGTAAAGTCCAAATGAATCAAATTGTTATAGATGAAAAATCCAAAGTGTTTCACTTTCGGGACGTGAAATTATGTTTTTTTTTTCTCTATCGTTGCTCATCTTTCTATCATGTTTTCTTTGTGACACAATATAAACCGTAATTGCACAACATTGAAAATCGGTATGTCAACGTAGAATGTATCTTTTCTGTGTGTATTTTGTTGCTTTCAAAATGTGCATTCTGCAGCAATACATTTTGGATTATATAACGATCTATATGCGATTTGATTGTGGAAACAACAGCAACAACAACAATAAAAAAAAAATGAGACAAAGCTTTTTGTACAGAGAAACAGAGATTTGGTTATGAAGAGGATGAAAATAAAAATGTTTCTAAAATGCATAACGTACAAGACGAGCACAAAACAAATTTAATTGCTTGGTGTATTTTATTTTATTTTCTAATCTGGATGAGATTTGGGTAGATTTATTTATTTTAAATGTGTGAGTATTGTTTTTGTTGTTTAAGCGAAAATGATTTTAAGCACACACACATACACACACTGACATTCAAGAGTTTCATGAAAACTACTATTCTCATATGTATCACTCGCAATGATAAATAAATAAACAGCAATTGAACTCAATAAAAAAAATAGCAGAGTATATATGTATATATCCAACTTACACTGGTCGATTTGTTACTTTTGTGAAAAGTTTTCTATATCGCGTTCGCTGATGAGTCGGTTTTTATTAAAACTATTTTCAAGTTGTTTCGCTTCTTTCTCCCTCTCTCTCTATCTCTTTCTCTCTCTTTTCCGTCGTCTGATACTATATTTGATTTGAATTTCGTGGATATATCAATAATTTCAATTTTCAATAAATTTTGTTGTTACTTGTTTTTTTTTTTTAATTTTTTCCCTTTCTTTTCTTACTTCTCAACAAAATTGTCACTTGTTTTCAATCCCCTCGTCTCTGTAAATTATACCCCAAAAATCTAATGACACTTTTTCACGCTGTATCCATGCGCGAATATTTTACTCTTCGGATTGTACTGTTGGTGTTGTAGAAAAAAAACTGTTTTCATCAGCTTACAACATAAAATAAACTCCAATATACGTATATACTTGATATCATTGATGATGAGAGATGGACCGAACAGAAATATATCGTGTGCACATAAAATGTATTTCGCGACCTTATCGTTACGGGTATGTCGCTCAACTGAATTCAAGCTCGCGCTGTATATTCATGCATATCTCGCCGAAAATCATTTCGCTCATTCTCACTCTCTTGCTCTCTCTCACTCTCTGAAACTCGCTCAGCTATTTTTCCCAATACAAATACGCACACAAACACATTTCATATAGAAGAGATGTGATGAGAGAATATATGTATGCCATACACACATTTCTGTGCATACACATAGCTCGGTTTGTCGAGCGGTACGGAGCAGTCGCGTTTGTGTATTGGCATTTTTCGTTGTCGGAAAAGCAAGGAGAAAAATCATTCGCACACATTTATAATTTTGTTCGTGAAACGAAGAAAATTGGTGGGGAGCAGTTAAATGAAAATTCGAACATAGATGAGACTTTGCCAGAGAATTGATGACATTTTTTTTTCTTCATGTATGTATGGATTATAAGATTGTCTTACTCTCACACCATGAAATGCAAAATTTTCTATAATTATACATTCTCTTTCGCTCTTTCGCTCTTTCACATACACAAGCAGGGAGATTGATGTAGTTGTTCAGTGGTTGAAAAACTCAGAGAGGAAGATGAACAAATAATAAAAAAAACATCATTTCCACAGTTCAGCACACAGTACAAAGTTTTGATTTTCAGTTGTGCAAATGAGCAAACTCAGCGCCTAAATGACGTCATACTGCGTCATATTGTGTGTGGAGTGTATACATTGGCGTCTATCGGACTCCATTTCAAAATGAAAAAGACAGAGATAGAGAATGTGTATTGTAATATGGAAGACACAGAGAAAAGCCCAAAGGAAAAGAAACATACATAGAATAACTTGGCGAAACACGAAGGAAATATTCGATATCGAGTGTGGTAATGTTGGCTGCTGACGATATTGCCTTTTCTCGCTGTTTTTCGCTTCAACACAATTTTCAAAACTCTCTCACACTCTCTTACGCGCTTTGCTGGTTTGGTATCTTTGTGTTTTACATACACACCGCAACACATACACTCCCTTTTCGCAAGCTTGGCAAATAGCAGCTCCTTTACAAGTGAATTTTCAAAAAAAAGAGAGAAGAGAATCGCTTCCATATGATGACGATCGAAATGCAAACGAATGAAAGGAAGAAAAGAAACTACATGTAATTGACGCTATTGTGAAATTTCATTACGTTATTTCTTGCAACATTCATACAATAGAAGAAAAAAAATGTGCCCGATTCGCGCAAGAGGTAGTCTTTTTTTTGGTAAAAGACATAACGTCCGACGTCTTAACCATTACATATATGTGCGAAAATATGGTTGTGGAAGAGGGTGGCGCACGGCACAATGCATGATACTGTTAAGAAATAAAAATGAAATTGAGTCAAGCAAACTCGAAAAAATGGCACAGGAGAAACAGAAGCGGAACTTAGTCTCAACACACATAAACACACTGTAATGTAGCACGAAGAAAAATCGATATAACAAACGAAGAAGAAGAAGAAGCAACCACAGCAGCAGCAGCAAACATGGAGAAGAGAAAAAAGGAATAAAATAACGCTCGTTGAATATTTTGACGTTTTCAGCAACAATGTTGTTTAATGAAAAGAAGGAAGAGCGAGAGAGAATTTGAACATTTTTGTAGTGTGTCAGCGAAATTTGGATTTGGTTTATCCTAATGATGACTTGTCGTTCTATTTATTTCTCTCTTGTTAATCGCTTTGGCCCAAAAGCTTGTAGAAGTAAACCAAAGCTAAGCGTTTGCAACTAACAAACAACGACAAAAAAAATATATATAGGTAAATTTCCAACGTTAAAGACCATCCCAATGGGATACATTTCATTTGATGATTCGACTCCTGAATCAATTCCCAATGGTATGTGTGTGTACACGATGAAAGTGTCGAAAATATAACTGTGTCTGTTGTAATGTGTCAACCGACCAAAACATATGCACTTAAAGATATCCCAATTTGGGTATCGATGTCAAATGCAACTATCCGCATTTCAACAACAACAACAAAAAATGTTCGTGTGCTTGATTTAGTTAATTTTAATTCAGACTGAAATGAAAACAACAGCCGATTCATCGTTACCATGCGTGCGCTTGAACTTTATCATCTCGGACCGAATTTCGAAATGTGTCCAAATTCTAGCAATTTCCTCATTCGGAAATTCCGTGAAACGAAAATTAAGCGCACATCACGAATCTTTTGTACATAAATATATGTATATGTGTGTGCTTTTTAAAAGAGAGCGTGAGATGGATACAATGAAATTTAACGTCTAATGAGGATGCCGTTAAGTAATCCAGCATGGCAACTGTGCCATTCTCTTCGCCTGCAATTACATAAATTTTGTACCATTTCGCTTACAACCAGTTCAAAGTAGTAATATTGAATGTGTCCCCACCACATATGCTTGTCTGAGTGTTAATTCAAAAGGAACAACGAACGATTCAAAAATATTATGAATCACAAACAAACAAAACCATTTGTGCTACTAAAATCAACTGTATACACAATGCAAAATGAAATTAAAATCGCACACGCACCAAAGTTCGACGCTTCATGGATATATATAGTTTTTTTAGTCTGGTGTGTGGAAATAAACGGAAAGATATGAAAGAAGGAAGGCAAAGAGCAGAAATGTGTCTATTTTATCGATTTTATTTTGATACAAATCATATTTAGGCTATGTCCTGAACTGCAACTAATGCAAAACAAACACATACAAACACCGAATAGTACCCCTTGTTGTTCAAGTACACACAGTCTTTCGATGTCTTAGTGGTGGTGGTTTTTATGTTCATCTCTGCATTTTGTCGGTCGATTTGGCGGAACGAGCATGCAAAGTCGAGCGCGATAGAACGCTTCGCTTCGTGGATCGGATCTACTAAAATGGAATATTGATGAGTTGTGCATTGTACGAAGTGACGTCATGCAAATAGAACACTATTAACCGGCGCCATATTTACTGCCATTGACAAAAAAAAACAACAACAACTATATAGAGAAAGAAGCGATCGTGAGTGTGAGAAATTCGTTTGAGAACCTGTTTTAGTTTGTATTACCAATAAAAACTACGATTCACTGAATGGGGTGGGCTGCATTAAACCGAATATTCATTTTTATTGCGGGGCAAATGGAGATAGATTTTCAAATATAAATATAGTTGAAATACAATGCACACCAAAAAAAAGAACTCTACTGTCTTCTCTGTTTGCATGTGATTGAGGGCTTTTGTCTAGGGGCTTTCATCATTCGTTCATACAAATTTATACACAATATTCACGTCCTATTCATCATATATACGATTAAAATTTCTCGCCTATACCAGTGAATAAGATGTATTTCAAACTTCAGTGTACACACACACACAGTATTGCTACACAGAATCGAAGAAGATCCGCACAAAAGAGAACAAAAAAACATGCCATAGACGAAATATATACGAAATATACACGAAATATACACCAAATATATGCAGTTATGCACATTTATTTGCGCGTATTACAGATGATTTTGCAATATAGTTCACTATTTAGAGTATAAATCGTATACATTTGAAGATAAAAGCCCCTAGGCTTTTGTTTTTTGTGTGTGCTTAGAATTTCAGTTCGTGACGTGCCCGTTGAACTTAGACATTTAACAGAACAATTTTGATGTATGATACGGAACAATCAAATCATACATAAATCGTTATATGCTACATCAAACAATATAATGCTGCTTCTCCGGCTATGAAGGGTAAAAATATAGAAAAGCAAGGACAATAATTATTATTATTTCGTATCAGTCTTGTAGATTGCCATTTATTTATTTTTTTCCTCAATCAATTCCATCATCTCATTTTCAGTAAAATTCAAATACTATATAAATAGATATGTATATAAATAAATAGTTTGTGTGAGTGTTTCTCTAATTTCAATTCGATAGAATCATCTCACCTTAACACAAGGCAATCGAGAATTAAACGACCAGCAGGGCATGGCTAGTATCACTCTATTTGTATAGAGATAAATTTCGAAAAATTCATTTTGAAGGGCAAAAAAATAAAAACGACCAACCATTTTATCGTTATAAAATGGATTTTTATAGAACAAGCACAAATGCAAGGAACACAAACATCAATGTGCAAATAAATACACAATGTGCATGCAAATTTCTCTCTTTCTCTCACTCTTTTATACAACAAATAATAAATGTACTGTGTACATTATTATAATCATTGTTGAGAGTTATCGGTGTGTGTGTGTGTGTGCGTTGGTGTGAGAAAGAGCTGAAAATGTGTACATGAATCTAAGCTTTGTCTAATTTAAATGTAGATTTTGATCTATACAAGAAAAACAAAACGAAAAAACGAGAGCAGGAATTTGCGATTTAAGAAGTTCCATTCGATAAGCTTGCAAAGTGGCAGAAAGTGTGAACGAGAGATAGAGAGAGAGAGAGAGAGAGAGAGAGAGAGAAAGTGAAGAGATTCAAGCATACAACCAAGTGCACAAAAACAAATACCGGAATTTATACGTTCTATAGCCTTGTTCCATTTAGTAATAAGGTTTAATAATTTTTTATTTTTCTTCTTCGTTTTGAGGGCGGAAATGTCGTTTGGAAGATGAGATAAAAAAACACACACTAAATATTTAACATGAGCGTATCACTGAGCGGCGGGGCAACGTATCAGCTTCTTCTTTTTTTGTAGTTTTCAGTCAAAGAACAAAAAAAAAATTCATTTGCTTAATAAGAGAATTGCGAAGACACATGGTTTACATAATACATATACATTCAAATTGGTCGAAAAACAATGGCCATATTTATGAAAAAAAAATCACAAAGTGAAAACATTCAAATGAGGACAAACTCAGATATGTCTTTTTTGTCCAAGCAATTTGAGGCATATGAATATGTAAACCAAATTTTTTTGGCTTAGAATTTAATGATACACAGTAAAAATGGCATGAGGTGGATATAAACAGAGACGAAAAGTTCAGAAATCGTTCACTTAGTTAGTGTAGAAGAGAAAACAACGAAAAAAAAAAATCGTCAAATTATAATATG